CGACCAGATTTTAGAAATAACGAAATCGTCTACTACAGAGGTATTTTCAGTCAAAGAAAAGCCTCACACGACCCAGAATGACATAACCGAGTTATGTCATACACTCACGCTTTATCTTAATCTTCGTAACGAAAGTAATCGCTCACATAGCCCACGTAGAATCATTTCACGTAAATGATCTGTCTCTAGACCACGAGAGACGGATAACCCCGACTGGTGCTGGTATCATAACCAGTATGGAAATTCTTCCAGAAATTGCAGAAAACCCTGCAATTACAGGCGGCAAATGGAAAACCGATCGCTACGTATGGCAAAATGTACGTTTACCTTAACGTGGGTTTACGCAAACCCATTCATTGGATTTTCGTTGTTGCAGATGTTTCTATGCCAATCATTGGTATGGATCTTCTACAACACCATAATCTAATCATCGACACGCGCAAACGGAGGCTAGTAGACGGAAACACTAATTTATCCGTTTGCGTAACTTCTTTTTCTGGTTGTACATTATCCCCAGTCACAGTTAAGAATTTGATAGACCCACTCTATCAACCACTACTCGATAGGTACACTGGGACACAACAAAGTCAACCGAAACTACCCTGTGTAACCAGCAACGTTACACATCACATCACGATTACAGGGTCACATGTATTCTCTAAAGCACGACGATTAGCTCCTGAAAAGCTAAGGTTAGCGAAAAACGAGTTCGATCACATGATAGACTTAGGAATCATAAGACCATCAAACAGCCCATATGCATCTCCGTTGCACATGGTCTCTAAAAAGGACAGCAACGATTGGCGTCCAACTGGTGACTATCGGCGATTAAATGCAAAAACCATTCACGATCGTTACCCGTTCCCTCACATTCACGATTTGACAGCTACCTTGAAAGGTACAACTGTCTTTTCAAAAATCGACTTGGTTAAAGCGTATAACCAAATTCCCATGGCCACCGACGACATACCGAAAACAGCTATCATAACTCCTTTCGGACTCTATGAATTTTTGCGAATGCCGTTCGGCCTAAGGAATGCTGCTCAATCATTCCAAAGATTCATAGACGACGTCTTTCGAGGTCTCAACTTCGTACATGCGTATGTTGATGACTGCCTAATCGCAAGTTCGGACAGAGAATCACATCTCAAGCATCTGGATCTTGTTTTCGAACGATTACAAAAACATGGCATTACTGTAAACGTTCAGAAATGCCAATTCGGAACGGACTCGTTAGACTTCCTAGGACACACTATCGATGCTCAAGGCATTCGACCTCTTAGGACCAAAGTGGCGGCCATTCTAGATTACCCAGAAGCAACAAACGTCAAGCAACTACCCACGTTTAACGGCCTGGTAAGTTTCTATAGACGCTTCATACCGAAATGCGCATTACTTATGAAACCTCTTACCGACCAACTTCGTGGAAATGCGAAATCCATTAATTTGGACGACACCGCACGAAAAGCATTCTCCACAGTTAAGGAACTGATCGCTAAAGCAACAATGCTCGCACATCAGGACACCGAAGCACCCATCAGTATCGCAGTAGACGCATCCGACTCGGCAATCGGAGGAGTCTTACAACAATGGGTTAACAACTCCTGGCAACCCTTGGCATTTTTCTCTAGACGGTTGCTAGACACCGAATCGAGGTACAGCACATTCGGTAGGGAACTCCTAGCTATGTATTGCGCTGTACGGCATTTCCAACACTATATCGAAGGCCGTGAACTCACTCTTTTCACGGACCAAAAACCGCTCACTTTCTCGTTAAGCTCTCCTTCTGACAAGTACTCTCCCCGTGAGTATCGACAACTGGACTACATTTCGCAGTTTACTTCAGATATTCAACATATTTCTGGAGCAAACAGTGTAGTTGCAGACGCCTTGTCTCGAATAAATTCCTTAAACAGTTTCCAAGGAATCGACCTTCTTAAACTCACCCAGCTTCAAAAAGAAGACACTGATCTTCAGCACGAGTTATCGTCCACAACCCTTAAACTACGCATCAAACAGATGGGAACAGGTAAGGAAACCTTACTTTGTGACACACCTACATGTAGGGATCGCCCAATCGTCCCGAAACATTATCGACGCAATGTCTTCAACACATTGCACAAACTTTCTCATCCAGGTGTTCGTGCAACCGTCAAGCTTATAACAGAAAGGTTTCGCTGGCCTAGTATGAATAAAGACGTGAGGGAGTGGGCACGCTCCTGTGTAAGCTGCCAAAAATCTGAGGTCATCAGACACAATAAATGTCCCTTAGACTCATTTGAGACTCCCGATGCTCGTTTCGACCATGTTCATGTGGATTTGGTATGACCTTTACCAGATTCAAATGGATACTCTTATCTCTTAACCTGCGTTCACCGTTTCACTCGATGGCCAGAAGCAGTACCTATCAAGGACATCACTGCTGAAACAGTGACCTTCGCCTTCGTCAAACGATGGGTAGCAAACTTCGGCTGCCCTTCAACCATCGCTACAGATCGCGGACGTCAGTTTGAATCTGAACTTTTCCGTTGTCCGACCACACTCTTAGGAATCACTCGCTTCCGAATGACTGCCTACCACCCAAAAGCAAATGGGCTGGCAGAACGTTTTCACCGACAACTAAGAGCTCCTTTATCAGCTGTAAACATTTCTCAGTGGACTTGAAGTGGCACTGGACCATAACCACACAATCCTTAAAGCTAGACACGAGACTACTCGGAAAATATATATCCATTATTTAACGCGGAGAAATACCTAACGATGGAGAAGTCAGGGACAAGGAGTTTAATTAATTAGAACCGATCGAATGGCAAGGTTCGGCTATGTAGTCGTGGTCCCTGCGGAATGTTACCTTATGTCTTATATTCATATTAAATATATTGTTCGATCTCCAGCCTAAGCTTGTTCTCCATCATGCATTAGTAACTGTTAGAAAGTAGTGAGTTGGTGTAGACGATGATGTAACTTCCACGTGAGATCGTATAAATTAGGCAGTTGTATCATGACAAGTCTACGATTTTAGGATTATGTCTATTATTAGAGCAGTACTAATATCATAGTAGACCATAATTCTTAAATTGATGCTCTTCTGCTCGTCTTGCTAGGTATTGACAATGCAGTGAAAGCTGACATTGGATACACCGCGGCTCAACCCGTTTATGACTAGACACTTCGACTTCCAGGAAAATTTGTGGATCCTTCATCCTCTTCAATGAACATAGATCTAACCTACTACACCAGCAGGCTTACAAACTCACTGCGTTCAGTTAAACCTGCTTCCACTCGATCACAACCAACTGATTTTTTTGTTCAACCTGACTTACAATTTAGTACACACGTTTTCGTTCGTCGAGACTCACATCGATGACCTCTTGAATCGGCACACGAAGGACCCTTCAAAGTTCTTCAACGCGAACACAAGTACTAACAAACAATAGCATCATCATCAACCGCATCAAAGCGGCGTATTTAGAAAGAAATTCTATTCACGTCAATTTTCCTTCGGTACAATCGAATAACACGACTCCGACACTTATAATACCTCGTGCGACAACCAACACGCATGATGCTACTTCGACAGTATCTGAAAATACACTTAAAACAACGCGTTTTGGAAGGAGTAAGATTTCCAGAACATTTAAACCACTATTGCACGTAAGTTAACATTTTGCTTCAACTCGATTTTCCATGACATTAGATAGAATATACTAGAAAAATCAATTTTTATATGCTTATATTCATATTTATTTATTATTTTACTAATATATATACTAAAACATTTTTTAAAAAAGAAAAAATTTTTGTAGAAATCCATTTAACGCTATTTTTCTATTTACACTCACTTTGTGTCTTAAAGCGCGTACGAGATTATTTCGACATGCACTTACATTTTCTTTTTTTCTTGTCCGGGACGGCTGGAAAAGACGATAAAAAGAACGACGAGGTTTACGAAAAGCAAAAATTTTCATTGTACATCATAGTCCCTTACAGTCAGGAAAGACGACCAGACGCTGTTAAACCTAGCAAGCCATCAGAAGAGTGTTTGCCATTGACAAACTCGTTGGGTTTAAACTTCTGTCTTGCCACGTCGTAAGGTCATCACTACCTCACTAGGGAGGATTGATCTGTAGCGGTAAATAAATCCTCAAAATTAATAGCTCTGTAAGTTTTCGATATTGGATGCTGACCACACTAGTTTTATTGAACTCACCTAGCTGAAGGCTCTCAGTCATGCATCCGTACCAGATCAAGAGTGGGAACGCCGTACTCAACAACCCCCTGCAATCGCTAGCCAGATTAGGTCAGACGATCCTCGATATATTGATGAACTAACAAATATATCTTCGAACCTCCTTGCCTGTCTTTTGATTTCACTTGGTGGTTTTGCTCCATATTAGAAGGTGTTACCAGTTGAAGCGTTGTCAAACTCCGAATACCTGTGGCATCTTCAACCCATTACAGTATAGGCGTCTTAGAGGTGACCTTTTAATGGCTTACGGTATCCTTAATATGTTTGGACATCTCCTTAGACACCTATTTAAGCTTAATCCTAATACAAACCTAAGGGGTAACACCCAGAAATCGGAGACACAACATAGTAGAACGGACTATAGACACAACTTCTACTCCTTCAGAGTTGTCAAATGCTGGAATTCGCTGCCGACTGAACTAGTCCAAGCGACTTCTCAGGAGTCTTTTAAGAGGAAACTTGGCCTATTCCTAAGGACTAAGGATAACATCTCATTATGATTTGACGATTTCTTTTTTCCTCTATTATCGCTAATATACTTAGGTTCTTGCCTGGAATTATTGATGACCCATTGCTACTAGACACAGAAGCCCGTTAAGCAAAAGCTTCTTACATTCCGTCCACAACCATTTGAACCATTTGAATCATTTGAAGACTGAAGTAGGAGAATTAGGAATGGTTTAACATCTGAACATGAAGATTGTTTCTCTAGGTCATCACCTTGACACGGATTTAACAGGTATGTGGATTTATGAAATTCACAGAAGTCGCACGTCCAGTTTTATGGAGGGCAGTAGAAGATGTTGAAATGCATATATTCCAACTATGCTTGTTTTTAGGAAATATAGGTAATCTTTACTCTCAGCCAACCTCATTTGGCAGTTACAGCGCTTTTAATGGATGTAGGAGACCAGATACATTTGATGACCTTCAATAACCCAAGTTTATTTAAATATAATGAAGTTAATCTTCGCATTTCGTTAAATTATGTTTCCATTAGGTCACCTCAAGAAATATCTTCATCTCGTGTAAATTATTCTCGAGTAATGTGATTACATCCCTTAAAAAATGTTCGCAACCACTCTATGATCATGGTTTTCATCAGTTGACCGGTAATAAATTTGGTCAGGTAATTCTCATTTTTCTGTTAAATACTGGTTGTTGCGTATACGTCAGTGATTACTGTGATAAAAGTTACATCAATAATGGTATGTGGTTCATACATGTATTCGTCACTCAAACTCAGTCATTCTCCTCCCCTTCCTTTGGCTAAGAGTTCTAGAAAAACATAGCTTATTAACAAACCTTTGATGAGTCTTTCGGTGAGTAATTAAAACCATCAACATCTCGCAAGGGAAAATTAACTCAGGATATATGTTAGTGCTGAAATCATGTTTTCGGCTATTTGCACTGACGTATTGCTTGATTGAAGTATCTAGAAATAAAGTGGCTGGAAGTCGGGTCTGATTGGTTCCTGTTCTATACTGTTGAACACTTATATAAAACATCCTGATGCTTTGTTTGTTCTAGTGATATTGACTGTGTATATAAGTATCCATAGAGAAAAACAAGCTCCCAAATGCCCTGGTATGGCCGAGAGCGGGATGGGCTCATCCTCCCTCTCGAAATACTCTCACACGGCCACGCGTATACAGCCTCTGCCATGGAAGTCCTACTCACTGCCTTCTCGTGGCAGGGGTGTTGTTTACGGAAACGAGTGGACGAAAGGCGAATGTCCGTCGCTTTAACCGGATCCCAAACCAATGGTGCACATGGGCTCCAGTATCCTGCGGGGACAAATGGCGTACGAACCAATTTTCGGTCACCGGCTATCATGGGACTGCATCTCCTTACGATGCTCTACTGCCTTGTGTGTCCGACCTTTAGGTCAAAGGCTCGGGGTGTGGCCTACTAAGAAAACCACCTGCTTCGGTCTGGGCACCCGGGCAGTATCACAGCCCACACGCAAATTATGAACTCTCTATATCTATGGAAAATACATTTCTCGCTCCGAATAACAATCAAATGATTAAATTTATTATTATTGTTATTATTTACTACGTCATTTATTCACTCTCTTTTAATCCCACTCTGTGTATCCTTATTTCTCGACTTATACAGCAGCTCGCCTATGGTGGGAATTCGGTCACTGCCTGGCTGAAAATTGTATGCTACCACCAAATATGAATACTGAAGCAGTCTTTCTGAAACCACGTGCACTACTCAAACTGGCTGCCTTCAACGTTCGCACACTTATGCAGGTCGGACAACAGATAGGGCTGACTATGTCTTTAGAAATTCTTAATATCGATGTTTTGTTGTCTATCCGAGACCCGTATTCAAGACTGGTGAAGTACTACAAATCCGCTCTCTACCTGTCGCTTCAAAAAGCTTGTTTTACGTGCGTTTATCCGGGGACCCTGTGGCATCTTCGTCTGGTCTTGCTGGCGTTGGTGTCGCACTAAGCGCTAGAGCTGAGGCAACACTAGTCGATTGGATCCCCATTAACAGTCGGTTATGTGCTGTTAGATTAGAAAGTTCCATCAAAATGAGAAGAAATCGGCGTGAGAAACGATGTCTTTTCGTCATCTCCGCCTATGCATTGACAGACTGCAGCCCGGATGCAATCAAGGATGAATTCTACCACCAATTATCTGTTGTAGTACTAGCCGAAGAATTGAATGCTCAGGTCGGGCGTCTAGGCACGACTGATACAAAAAATGAGGCGGAAGTTCTCCAGGAACAAATCACCGGGCCCAGTTGACTTACTTCCGGCCCGTTTTAGAGGTGGTAGTGACTTTCTGACTAAGGAACTGACGACGTTGTTTGCAAACGTCTGGGAATTAGAGGGTGTACCAACGTCATGGAATGAGTCGATAGTCGTCCCTACCTTTTAAAAGGGCTCACGTCGTTCCTGTAAAAACTATCGGAAGATAAGTCTACTTCCGATTACGTCCAAGCTATTGGCTTCCGTCATACTTCGTAGGTTGTTCAAAACCCGAGAAAGATTAACCCGCGAAGAGCAGGCTGGTTTTCGTTCTGGTCGAGGATGTATTGATTATATCTTCACTCTCCACCAAATGTTAGAACACCGTCATACTTATCAAAGGCCAACAATCGTAGCGTTTCTTGACATCAGGGCTGCCTTCGATTCGTTGGATAGGACTGTTCTCTGGGATTGTCTATTGAAGTAGGATGTGTCTGAGAAGTTTATTAACATCTTAAAGGCCCTATATACAAGGACCTGGGGTAGAGTGAGGGCATACAACCACCTCTCTTCATTGTTCCATTCGAGCAGTGGGGTTAGACAGGGTTGCTCAATCTCACCATTCCTCTTCAACTTTGCCAACGACGACATTCTGGAAACAGCTCTGATGGATATAAGTAATGGCGGTGTGGATCTGTTGCCTGGAGAAAGGCTTCTCGACCTTGAGTATGCGGATGATATTGTCTTACTGTGATATAATGCCCAAGGCATGCAATTCGCACTTAATCAGTTGGCAATCAATGTCCGTAGGCATGGTATGTGCTTTACACCTGCGAAGTGCAAAGTACTTTTACAATCTGGCGGGATTCTAACCCTGTAATCACTCTGGATGGTGAGCAGATAGAAGTAGTCGAGAAGTTCGTGTATCTGGGTAACTGCATAAGTGCTGGTGGGGGTGTGAGTGATGAGATTAATGCACGTATAGTGAAATCCAGAGCGGCTTATGCCAATCTAGACCATCTTTGGCGCCTTCGTGATGTCAGTCTGGCTGTAAAAGGTCGGATCTACAACGGGTCGGTGAAAGCAGTTTTGCTCTATGCTTGTGAAACCTGGCCTCTCCTAGTTGAGGATGTTAGACGACTCTCTGTGTTCGACCATCGTTGTCTCCGAAGGATTGCTGACATCCAGTGGCAACACCATGTTAGTAATGCAGCATCGTGTGTTCGGGCATAGAGACGATGATGCAATTGGTGTCACCATCTTGAAACACCGACTTCGGTGGCTTGAACATGTTCTACTAATGTCGTCTCGGAGAATTCCACGTCGTGCATTATTTGCCGACTCTGGGACTGGTTGGAAAAAGCGGAGAGGTGGTCAGTATATGACATGGTGTCGTGGTATGAAAGAAAGCTGTAAATGACTGGCTTGTGTCGGTCCTTCACGACTCCCTGGTTGGGGTCCGAGAGATGGTGCTACACAGTGGCTAGAAACGTTATTAGATATGGCTCAGAATAGAAGCCAGTGGCGATCCTGCTGTAACCTTTTACTTTCTTCACAAAAAGTGGTTGCTTCTTCCTTAACTGAAAGATTTCTTCTGATCGTACCTTTTCGTTTCCCCCATTATTATTATTATTACTAATTACTATTATTATTATTATTACTACATTATTGTTATTGTTATTATTATTGATCATCATCATCATTACGGGTTTAGTATGCTGAATTTTTTGACACTTAATAGTCTTACCTCCAATATTATTTCATTTTAGATTTATGAAAACCTCCTTTGTGTTACAGGATACAGCCTACAAGTAGATGACCTTAATTTTACTAGCAAAACCTCGAAGAATGATTTCTATGGGTTTTTCTTTCTTTCAGAAAATAAATTGAAGTACGTCTTTTGATCACTTTTGAACGATCTGTGTAAATATCACTAATCCATTTCCAGTAGTGGTAGTTAGCACTGTAGATTTAACCCTCAAAACTTCATTTTAAAGTGTGTACTAGTTTATAAGAGTTTGTTCAATTAATTTATTGAGATTCTACATAATTGTGAAGGTTTTCTTCATGAGGAGCGCAATTGACAGTCCCTGCTTAGTTAATATCTTACATGTTCTTTCAATAATTTTTGGAAAATGCAGGCTTTGTGCATTTGTGCTTTCTCATTTGTAAGTTGTAACACCTGACTATGATTTATTGATAATGTCCCAAATTACTGAAGAAACCGCTTCCGAAGAGCGTTAAGCACCTGGGAGAGATAAACCGATTGACTTGTGTATTTTGTTCCAATTTTCAACAACTAAAAGGATAATCTTCATAAAAGCAAACAGTTTTGATGAAATATACCATATACATTGTAGCTGACTGACTGCATTTATTATTATTTATTCTCCATTCTCGGCCGTGCCAGGGCATTTGGGGTCTGACTGACTGATTTTCAACTATAACTAGGTTAAACCAAAGTGACATATATAGCTCCTTTTTTGCAATTACTTTGTATACCTTGAATAAGCAACAGTAGTGCATCTTAAATTCAATGCTGGGTATATTTTCACATTTATTCAAGAGATGCCTATTCAGTAATTCATTATCGTAACTTGCGCCTACATTTGTCCCAAGTCTCTTGTCCTTTAGTGGTGTTTATTATCAGTAGAACCAATTTTATCCATTTTTGTAGCTTGATAATAAAAAATAAAAAAAATAATTATTTAAAATGAATTTTGTATAAAGAGAACTTGGTCACATTTTAGTTTGATGTGTACTAATTGTTTTCTTTTTTTCTGTCTCTACAGGGGTTATGTAAATATTTCATCTTCAGAAATATATCCATCAGGTTTTACTATTTTCATCGAATCCATAAATCAAGAATTAGGACAAAACGATAATAATTCAGTTCATTCTACCACTATGTGCCATTTATTCGGTGCCACATACAACTCCACTATTTTCCCTTTAAATGTTACGATCTTCGAAAACGATACTGGAGCATCAAATGTTCAAAGATGGGATCGAATTTCACCAAGTAGAAATAATTCAACATTTCATTCTTTCAATTATTATATTAATTCAACATCATCTACCAATGTTCAATTATTTGATTCACATTATCGTAACAACAATATAGCTAGAAGAGTGAAACGCTGTAAGTCATCATATACTGGTCCTAGTTTATTCTTAGAGAATTTTTATTTGACTTATTTCTAAACATAAAATACAACATTTATCTGTGTAGTTTACTTTTATTAGACTGAATCAGCCTAGCTTATATGTTTCATGGTGTTATGGAAAATGATTATACTATGTACTGGAAAAAGCTTGCAATTCATCGACTTTTTATAACTTCCTTTAATTCTACACAAACTATGGTGAAATTAGGTAATGATACTCCATAGTTACCCAAACATTGTTGGAGCACTCCACAAATAAACCCACCGTTTGAAAGTCGACACACTCAATTAATAACCCACCAACTCATTGAATGATGGTAAATATGAAAGTCGGAAAATAAGAGAGTAACAACTTAATGCTTGCATGAATTCTTACTCTAACTGACTCAACACAGGATTTGATCGTATGAAAATCTATATAAATGAAAACAACAAATCGGTTTTTTATAGTTTTGAAAGCTGGATTGTGCTTTTAGGCTAAACATTACGTGTTTTGTCGACTTTGATTTAGACATGTCCACCTAGTTTATGTAAATAAATATGATCTTGTAACGTTGTATCTATCACTACTGGTATACTAATATCATTTTGTGTCGTCATGCAATCTTCGTAAGCTCATCTTATTTTTAAAAAATGTATAAAATAAAATATAGCATGAGTTTTTGGTATGCACAACAAGTACTGAAGTTGTTGATTTGATCGAATTTCATGTTATCTGAAACTTTCGTTCATTGGTTTAGGGACTGAACGGATTCAAGTTATGCTCTACATAGTAAAGTTCAAGTAGTCAGTTAAATTACGGTAGGACTGATAACCCTAACGTTGCAGATTCGGATCATAGCACTGTATAGGTGAAACTCAGTGGTCACTGAGTAGTTCATAGATATTACACTATAGTATCATGAAAACATCAAGTAAAGTTAGTGTGATAAGATCTAGAATATGCGTTCATGATCGACCAATTAATAGCATATCACACTGTCTATTAAATGAAAACTGTGATCAATTAGAGATGTGTTGTTACCTAGGTGGGTAGCTACTTTGTTACACTAGTTAGCGAAGTCATTTACGTGAACAAAATTTTGATTGGCAAATTTTCTGGATTAAAAATACTTCGAAATTTTTGATTGGTTTTTCGCTTATAGCTTATTTTTTAACTCACCTGTTCAACTCACCTCGCAACATAAAGATTTTGGGAAGATCATGCGGAGGTATGTGCACCACGTACAACTAGAAATAGTATACATGGAGTGAAGTCTAAATTAATAAATATATCTGATGTGATCATTTTAAGTCTTTAAAAATATATTAGTTGATTTTTGACTGGACAGAAAGCTGATACAAGTAGAGAATTCAACGCTTAATAATATGCATAGAGGTTTAGTGAAAACTAGTGGATCAAATGTGGAGGCAAAGTACTGAAAGTACAAGAGAAAACGCTGGTCAAAGTTTGACTGTAAAAGTAGTTCATAATCATATTTATGAATGTGTAATCTATAAGTCTACAATCAAAATACCTTACTCACTCTATGGTTATTCACACCAATAAACTGTGTGACATCTTACCATTATTTCTGTTTAACTGAGCCTCATTTATAAGTATTAGACTATCTGGTTGGGTTCCACGCGATTATCGTAACCTATGGTAAGACATTGGGTGAAATGGTTCCCAACGGTTCGAATCCGTTCACTTTTTGTCTTCCATTAATTATTGAGGTTCGAAATTATTTTATACATTTCTTATTTCCCTAATTCATTATCCCTGATATGTTTGAAAAGATTACAAAATCACCCAAAATCGGCAAACGGAACGACAAGTCAAACTATTCTAATGTGTCCCATCCCTGTTAACTAGTAGGGAAGACCAGGTTCAGATGAGGAAAAGGAATATTCCTCATGCAACCAGAATCAAAAACCAACAGGCACACAACCCAAGCGTATATATACGGTATAAAAAGGTTATTGGGAATCGTCACAAAATAATCTATTGAAAGAGGGGACGAACCAGTGACATTTAAGGTCCTACCAAGTGGGAAATACAATCTAAAGGTAAAAATGGGGGCTTTTGGCGCGAGAAAACGAAATTCAGATTTCCAAAATAAAATTACAAAAATAGAATATTTACCAAGTGATTTTTGGGGATCAAACATCCCCAAAATCGCTTGTTAAGTCATATTTTTTTATGCCCAATCTTTTCTACTACCACCAATACTGTTACCGTATGTACTATTCTGGCATCTTACTACAATAATGTGGTAAAATGGGGACTTAAACCGGTGCAAATATATCCAATGTGCTACGTTAAGTATGACTGACTAATGTTTTTAAACACTGAAACTGTTTTCTTTTAACTTAGAGGATCGAAAGATACCCAGGATATTTCAGACATGGTAATCTCTTGACAAATTGAAATAAGGCGAGAAGAATAAGATTTGTAAAACAACGTTCCGGGAGAGAAGCAATTGTCACCAGTTCCATTGAATGATCGTTGCGCTGTATCTAAAATTAACTGAGGTCAGAGTTGTGTTATTGAACGCCAAGCCACTGACTAGTGGTTAAACAGTCTCCTCAAGATCCGAAGGTCCTAGGTCGGGATTCCGTACCAGATTAAAACATCTGTTTGGTACTCCCCGATTTTCAATGAAACCCCGATCGCAATCATCTTCTGACGAACTTAATTCACAGATGCCTATATATATCCTCTAACGTATTTTTCTAGGATTGTCCTTAAGATCAAACTATGTTACATAATATGAGTAACAAAAAGTCCACAATGATTATTAAATTCACTTCGGATTGACTTGAACGATATGTGACAGTTTTGGGTTAGTTTTAAGGTCTATGTTCACCAAGCCGGCGCTTTAACCGGATTCCAAAACAATGGTGCACATGGGCTCCAGTATCCTGCGGGAACAAATGGCGAATGAACCAATTGTTGGTCACCGGCTTCCATGGGACTGCATCTCCTTACGATGCTCCACTGCCTTGTGGATCAGACCTTTGGGTTGAAGGCTCGGGGTGTGGCCCCCTAAGATAACCACCTGCTTCGGTTTGGGCACCCGGGCAGTATCACAGCCCTCACACATATCGGATGAGATTTGTGTGGCGCATATGTATTTGGTGCCTCTTTGTACCATTATCTATGTGTTGAAATAAATAAATAATAATAAAATATGTTCACCAAGAGCTTAGGTAAAACAAGTCACCTTGGCAATTGATTACTTCAATAAGTTTATATACCGAATTTGAAAACTCTAGGTATGGAAACTTTATATTTAAATTCAATGAAAATGATTAATTGTGAAAAGATTTCAATTCGTGATAAAAATAACCACCTTCAAAAAATATAATTCACTTAAATGATCATTGTGAAAGATATTTTGCGTAAAAAGTGTTCAGTCAGTCAGTAACAACGTAGAACTTCGTACGTGCGTACATCAGTTCGAGTTGCCACACCACGTTAGCACAGAGATGCAGTTGTCGATTCAAATCCTATAGTTGTAGAAGTAGTACAAGTATAAGCAGTAATCGGAAAGATTAGGGTTTGAAAATGTTATTCGAGGAGTATAATACAGTGAAATAAATTCGAAAAGAGGAAGAAAGGGACATAAAGAATTCAGAAGATTAGGATTTGGGAGAACACAAAGAGTGAATGCACCTGCGCCATTGCAAGCGATTTTGAACCATGTCATTCAGGGTCTCTAACCATTGGTTGCTATCATCTCGCGGTCCCCAATCAGGTAGTCTACACCTGCCAACATTGTTCAGTCAACTTGTTAGTGACTTCATGGACTTGTGCCATGTTTTGGTCTGGCGGCCCCTAGCTTTCTTCCAACCTACTCCTATACCACTGAATATCACATGTCGAGGCAGTCGGTGGTTGGGCATACGTAACAACTGTCCCAGCCATCTCAACTGATGAAGTTCCATCACTTCACCAATTGATTTGCCATCCTTACTTAGTACCCGTTTCCTAACAAATGCGTTACTTACTCGATGGTCCCAGGATGCACAAGCAATATTTCGAAGACACCTATGGTCGAATACTAGTAACCTACGAATATCCCCTACTCTTACCGGCCATGTTTCACTGCCATAAAGTAGGGCGGAACGAACTGCTGCACAGTAAACCCGTCCTTTGGTTGATAGACGGATATCTCGCCTACGCCATAAATGACGCAAGTTACCAAAAGCTAATCGAACCTTCTGTATCCGTGCTGAGATTTCGTCACATATCAGACCACAAGGGCTGATGAGACTTCCAAGATAAGTGAGGCGATAGACACGCTCAACTACTTCACTCCCTATCATTAGTTCGGGTGTCGATGCAACCCAATCCTGAAGCAACATTTTGCATTTCGAGGGGGGAAATCTCAAGAGTAATTATGTGGCTAATACTATTAATTTTCATCTGTTCATAATATTAATTCACTCTAAAAGATCTGTAGTTTGAAATAAGAAGGATTTATGAAATATTGTGTTCTTTCTGAGGTCGGTTGTTCAGTCGTGAAGCTTTTATTATCTGATGCTGCCTAGAATTACAATAAAACCTTTACGATTAGATCATTCAGCTCAGAGGAAACTAAATTCGTTTTTGTATTACCTTATGCAAACAAGTTTTATCAGTGAAATAACATTTTGAAATCAATTTTAAGTCAGGAATATAAATATTATGGTCATATTGAACGGTTCAACATATTGCTTAGACGTCCTAATTCAATGTAATGTAAAATACGACTATAGGCAGGAGGTATGTATGTCCACCGCGAGAAGTTATAAAGTTTTTACGTAATACATATACGTAGCCTTTAATCGTCCATCTGGATCTTGTGGTGTTTTCTGCGGTCTGAAGTTTCCTCTTGACTGGCCTCCAAGTATCCTGCCAACACTGTGCCTTTGATGCACTAAAACTCTTCACTCTATCCGACAATTGTTGCAACGCCGATATCGCGTCCCGCTACACACTACTTACAAACATTCTTATGAGTAGCGTCCACTACAGTAGTTTCTCATGAGCTTTGAATAACAGAAGTGAGCTTTCATTAACTCGTATAAAATAGCTGTTTAGTTCATAATGTAGTGACTGATCATACAGCGGCTAAGCGTTCATCTTACCTAAACTTCATCTATTGTGTAGTATATTCGGATTTCGCTCCACATACTTTGATTTCGATAACCGAATATTATCACATTAGCCGTTACTCAAACAATACAACTCTAAGTTGAACACACATTCGAATTTATTGGTGTATAAAATGTGAAGACTTGTAAAATAGTTGTTGAGTTACATATCTCTAAGTATACAATATTCATAATTTCACATGAATAAATGTAATTAACTCTATCCGTAAAATAATTTATGCAAAATTGTCACTTATCATGTGTTTACTACATTGGGGCACAACAATAATGTTGATTTGAGAAAAAATGTCTGAGAAAAACTACCTTACTACACTCTGTTTATCAAATTATTTACAATCAAAGTAATAATGATAATAACAAATTTTTAAATTGTGGCATATATTGAAGATATATTTTGACTTATTTTACTCGTGATAAATAATGATCAGTTGATTTTTTATTTACCTTAGATTTATAGTCAATTAAGATTAATTCGTTGCCAATCGTTAAAATCATTTACATATTGTGATATTAAAATTTATTTATCTTACAAACCAAGGTATTATCGCTTAGAAATAATCAGCTAACGCAGTTACTTCAAATACACCATGTATTGAATCATAACATTTAAATATTGAATTAAATCAGTTAGTCGTATGCAACATAGAATCTGGGATATATGTGTATTGGTTTGAAATCCCACTACCCCAGTAATACGGTAAGATATCAGTATAGTACATACGGTAACAGCATTAGTGTTAGCAGAAAAGATTGGGTATAAAAAACGTAACTTAGGGAGGCATAATGAATTTGTGGAAGAAAATAAATACAAGGTAATTTTTCGAACACAAGGGGAACTCGCAGAGACCACTTACGACTTAAAATATTTTCAGGTTTCACAAACAAAACTACAAGGAATAATTAACAAGAAAATATTCGGGAGATCCAGAAAACTCCTCGAAAAAAGTCAACAAAGGCTCTGAAAACTATTAGAAGCATCTTATTCAATCCGCATTCACCAGAAGCTTTGCTAGAAAAATCTAAAAAATGAAAATTCACATGTCGAGTTTCTGATTGGATGATTACCTACACTGCTACTACGTTTAGTAACGTTCCAGAATATACCAGAAACTCAAGGTCATCTAAAACACCGTAGAAACCCTAAATTTTCTGTACATTAACGAATCTTAGAGTAAAGCGTTTCTTCCATATTTCGCGCCTTTCATCTCGTGTTCAGGTCGCTGTGTAGATTTAGTTTGGGGGTGATATGCTTGAGTGCTATTACGAGTTCACCTTATTCGGTAAACGAAACGAAGGTCAAACATACAGTGACACGATAGACTATTTTAATTCGTTGTCCCCGGCCCTGCTAACTAGATCAAGAAGTCTTGATGAGGCGTAGAGAATGTATTCTACAAGCACTCAGAAAATACGCGATCACTAAGCACACAAATCAAGCTTATTTATACAATGATAGAAACGCCCTCGGGAGAGCCACAAAATAGCGTACTAAAAAAGTCCGTCAACCAATGACAGTTAAGGATTTCCGAGTGCGAGATGTAAGCTGTAGGTCTCGACGCGAAAACATAGAATTCAAAATTTCAAAATAAAATTGCAAAATTAGGACCTTTTCTAAGTGAAATCTGGCGATCTAACGTCCCCAACAGGGGGTTACTAGAAGAGCTTAGGAACGAAATTTAGCCTTCAATTAGAAGGCTTGTTAGAAAGCCAGTATGATTTTGTCTATACTAATAAATAGCTAGAAGTAACATTTCAGAGATAACTTAAAAAATCTGAAATACGTACATTTAACCACAAGAATAAAAGAATAATTGTGTAAGTCTTTTGACTATTCAATTCACTGAATTTACTCCCAGATAATTCGGGACAAATTGACTAGGGCGATCGACCAAGGCGAATAATGCAATTATGTTGTTAGTTATTTATCGTCTACCCGCAGCTCATCTACTCATTTTCAAGTTATGATAGTGATCAGTTTACAATCAGTAGTAATTTGCTAGTTCAAACTCCGTTTCATATGATTGTGCTGAAAAAACCGATTAATAACTCTTATGCAATTGAAGCTCAGTTTAAATAAACCTGTACTTAGTAAATGTTGATTTATCAACGTGTTACAAGATGCTCTTATTTTTATCTGTAACCATTTAACAACTAAAAGAAATAATCACTTCCTTGTAATAATATAATGGGGAAATAAATTAGTGAGATATTTCTATAAGTGTTTAACCTTTTAATAAGTGTTAATATTAATTTCTCACTTAAAAGTAATTTGCTATCACCGAAAGTGAAGTGTTACTAATCAAACGTGTACTTTTTGTTTCTCCATAATATCTTTTCTGATTACAGCCTCTATATCAATGACAAATACCGTAAGTACTCTAATATTTATATGTATGGTGTATCTGTGTAGTATTGTGTATTAAAAAAAAATAAAACTCGCTAATATTTGGTTATAATTAACAAGTAATTCACATGTTGTACAACATATGAAGTAATCAGTCCTCACGTGTTCAAAAATATAACATAATATATTCATATGTTTTTACTTACATAATCGCTTGCTCCACCATTTGATTATGGACGATATAATCAATATATATTAGGTGATTGTATTTATACAATCAGTCAGTACCAATGTTGAACTTGACACAGATATTCATTAATCTCATTTCTCATACTACATTACCAGTAATACGATTGAAGCATATGAATATGATAGAAGAGAACTGAGTTGAACTACCATTGGCAGTAAGTATTGTAGTGAACGAGAAAACCAGTGGGGACAACCAAATGTGTTTTAACTCAATATTACGGAATATCTTGGTAAAATCCGACAACCATATAGTAAGACTTAATTTGCAGAATATCTAACAATTGTTTCAAACTTTGTTGTTCCTTCGTTTCCACACCAATCACTCTCTGTTATCTTTCTCTTCTCCTCTATATTTGCAACGTTCTACCGTGAGGCATTCAACTTTGGACTGATAATATATACTACTTATATCTGTCGACATCAGTAGCACACACCACAGTAGAAGAATAGTTCAAAAATAACCAATATCATCAATGAATAAAAAGCATAAAACAATATTAAATTTCAAAATTTATTATTAATGAACTATTGTAATTATTTTAGAGCATTGTAGTATACACTACTGAATGAAATAGATGAATTTCTATAAATTTCAATAATATGATGTGGTCAGAAAACTGAATAGTGCATAATCGTGATAGATTGCACTTACAAAAGATCAAAGTATTTTACTTGAAATAGTTACGTTAGGATTGAAAGTATAAAACTTTCCCATAGTAGATGTAAGGTCACTTTCATAAAATATCATATAGTTAAAAGAACTATGCAATAGTATGCTCATTAAAAAAGCATATTTCCCTGGTATATTTATTCAAATGGCAATCGGTACAATCAGTTTTTATTGATTTAAAAATAATAGGCAACGATTTACCGTGATTGTTCTCAACCCTCTATACATGCATCTTAGAATCTCTCGGACTTTGATACATCAAAGATTTAAAAGCAACCGTGTGTACTTGACGATATGTAAATCTTTTCACTACAATGAGGTTTGTTCTCATTCTTTGCTACGATTTGTTTCTTTTTATAAATTCCAGTCAATTTTGGATACATTACATGTTTTCCATCGTCCCGGTGAATCACAGCCATATGTGGTGGAGTTGTTTATGGTTGTGGATGAAATTATGGTAAGATAATGGATATTTTCACTAAATGATTACCTGAATACAGTTTCAGATAAAATAAATGGTTCAGTGATATTTAACTAGTGAGAAATTTTTTAACAAAATAACTTATTCATACTGGTGTGTCGTGTTCCATGATGAAGTTTTGTTCCATTGTTTCCCCCTAATAATAAGCTTCTTGTTTTCTTCCCAGTACAAAATTCAAATATGGCTGCCTCCTTGGATGTAACTTTTAAAACTTTAATTCATCTTTTTCTGTCTTACAATATTTTTCTTCATAGAACCGTTAGCAGTCTTCACATGTTTCTGTCAACTTACGTCACCTATGGCAAAGGAGAGATCCGTCTATCAATTTAAGGACGAGTATACTGCTCAGCAGTTCGTTCTGTTTTACTTCACAGGTGCGAAAGGTGGCTTTTAAGAGTAGAAAATGCACGTAAGCTATTATTATGTGATCACAGATGCCTGAAAAATATTTCTCGCATCTGCTAGGATCACATGGTAAGTAATAGTGAGGTTAGACACAGGGTATTAAGAAATGATGGTAAGTCAGTTGATGAAGTTGTGAATCTTCATCGACTGAGATGGTTGAGACACGTGTTATACGTATGGCTGAACACCGATTACCACGACGCGCAATACTGACTAGTGTTAGGGATGACTGGAAGAAAGTTGAGGGTGGTCAAACCAAAACGTGTTAGCAACCCATAAGTTCCCTAATTTCAGGTATGAGCCATGTTGGCAGATGCAGACTACTTGATTAAGGTCTGTGCGACTATCGTAACCAATGGTTGGAGACTCTTAGTGACATGGCTCACAATTGATCACAATGGCTTAGGTGTATACGCTCTTCAAGTTTACTTAAATCGTGAGATTAACATTACTTTGTACCTCTCTTACTATGATCTAATTCTTTCTCCCTGTATTATATCCTTATATGCAATCTTTTTTCTAGATATTGCTAACACTGGAGTAACTGCTTCTATGAATTTGGCGTTCATCTTGTTGTGCTAATGAAGTATGACATCTTGGACCGATGCATATATGTGTCTGGTCCTACGTTGTAGCTGACCGACTGTAATTTTCATAAATCTAACTTTTACTATCTTTGCATTTTTTTGTCCAGGATGTTTGTTTAGGCCACCCTAGACATGTCCCCAAACCAATCAGTTGTGTATAAGTGAAGCGATTTATTTTTGTCAACATAGAAAAAGTGAACACCTAGTTGTTAGACTGAAGTAACTGTAATATCGTTTAATTATAGACTGTTAAAAAACCAAAAATGTAAGTGATATTTAAGTCCTACACGAATTGTTTGCACTGTCGTACAGGTAGCACAAATCATTGTTTTATTCATCACAGTTATAATATACATGAGTTGGCGACTAGTTAATTGTATTATTAATTTTTCTTTCATTTATCATACACTATAACTGATTAGTGGTACTTTGAATTGTTTACATTCTGTTTGTGAACCTTATTCTCTCCGTATATGTTTTCGTTTATTTACTTATATGTTTCATTGTTATGATTTAAAGGAAATGGGTTATCATTTTACTTTGATTTTGTTTTATCTCATGTTTTTTTAAAGTTTTGATTTATGTAAGCTATGGATCAGTGGTTAAGGCATTGAACTTTCAGTCAATAGATTGCAGGTTCGAACTGTGGCCCACCTACTTCAGTTTGGGAAAATGATTACTACTACTAATTTTCACACTTAAAGCGTGGTTTGAGACCAAGTACACGGGTCTGTATCTAGTGATAAGTTGGTTATAATACTAAGAGATGAAAGGTTTAGTTTGGACTCAGACAATTCGATGGTAAGATTTCAGTAAGTTCATGTAGAATATGAATGTAAATTCTACAGCTTAATACCTATGACAATGACTTCCCAACTGGCTTCTCGATTCTCATGATCCATCTGAATTCTGAGCCTCCAACAACCCAGTAGTTGATAATATAAGTAAAGCTCTTATTTATGATTATTTGTTTTCTAGAAATCAAAGACTATACATAAACTTTGAGTTCCTACAATTTTTGGAGACTTTTTCGAGCTAGACATTAACATCGTTGGACGCCGGCTCGGTGATTTGCGCGCGTGACCAAAAATCTTGGGTTCGAGTCCCACGTGTGAGGTAATGGATGCGCACTGCTGATGAGTCCCATACTTAGAGGCAACGGACATCCAGTGCTTTCAGGTTTTCGGTGGTAGTTTAGCTTAGATTGACCCATGAATTCAACTACTAAAATAATACTGCAACAGTCTTGCCAGTCTGATTAGAAAAGAACAAAGTACACCAGTTTATGTAATATACTGGAACTCGGTGTTTGGTGTTACTTAAATAATTGTAATTTCAGTATTCCATGGTTTGGTAAATATGTATAATAAATCCAGTCATATTCTCTTTCTCCACTGATACACCTTGCTCATCATCAAAAACATTTTGATTTCTTGAGTTCGCATGATTTCCATTTATTTGTTCATGAATCTAGAGATGTTTTGGCACGACAGAATTGGATGGTGTTGATACTGATATTTTTTAACTCGTGTAATAAGGAAACAGCTGTGGGAGATGATGGTGATCAGAAAAAACAATGTGTATATTCATGTATAGAGATAGATGAACGTAAAACCAATGAGTTAATTATTCAGAGGAGCAAAATAAGCGTCTGACGTGAATTGCACAGAGATACGGTCACGTAGATTAACTAATTGCTTTCACTTTTTAGTGTCTGCTAATACTAACATTCAGTGTCGATGTCGAATGAGCTGTAATTTACTTACCGCTACTATTCTTTAGACGTTTTTAATACCAAGAAAAAATTATTTTACTCTAGTACATTTTTTATAATCTCATAAGGAGTTGATCTCTGTCCAAATCGATCAGATATTTAATCTTATCATAATATTGAAAATCATTAGTTCAAGTCTCTGAAACGTTAATAGTTTTCGTTAGGTTACATAATTTGTTTTTCCCTACTGATTTAACGACGAAAACTGGAAAATTCCATACCCGGTTCTTTCTTTCAACAACTTACAATTAACTATTATTTTAAATTTATTTAACTGTCTGTTAAATTTACTTAAATGTTGTCTATTTCAATAGATTACTTTTATCAGAACCATCTCATTTTATTTCTTCGTAAACAGGTTGCAGAATTTCGTGGACAATATCATCAATTGATTTCTCGTATTAATATGATTATCGCACTTGTAAATAAGGTAATTTGTTCATGATTTCACTATATTACTAATTTATTCTGACTATTATTTCGATGCGTACATGATTGTATTTCACTTTACACAGAAAAAAGATTCAAAATAGTAATCCTATGGGGATTGATCTACGTTTATACTGTAAATTATTTATAAGCAATCCCAACAGTTTTACATGTAACAATGATCATTTAATTATTCAACATAGAAACTAGTCATAATCTCAGTAATGAACTATAAATTCTTTGATTCTACTTTGAGATACATTACTTTATGACGTCTGTAATACTATTCTTTTGTTCATTGTGATATATAGCGAGAGGGGCAACAGTTTTGTGAATTATACTTGACAGTTTTCTAAACTTCCTTATATTTAATTAAGTATATCTCTATTCTTCATTTAAATGGTGTTTCATTACAAGAAAAAGAGTATCATTCATTGTAATGAATAATATTTCAGATAAATGTATAGTGGACGTAATGTAACTGTAATATAGAGACAAGCCAGTAACAATATTTGAATGACTTTGTGATGTATTAATCAATAGAACTAATAAAACCTTCCAGAGTGTAGTGGTTTCAATCAGCTTGTTAGTTTCTCAAGGCTTATTATAAGTGTTTTCACTGTTAGTAATGGAGAAATATCGCTGCATAATCGTTTTAATCTGAATAAGAACATGTTCACATCGAAGATTTCTTTTCGATTCTTTTCCATAATTTTAAAAAGTTGTGTAGAAGTGTCATCATCGCCTACAAAATTCTTAGTAATAAATACATTGAAGGGTTAAGAGATGGTGCGGTGCTATAAAACAAGTGGTATGAACAAGTCATTTGTGTATCAGTAAATTAAATTTGGCAAGTTACTTATTAACTGTACATGTTTTATTCCCATACATATACCCATGAAATACTGACCATTTTCTCAAGTAACTTAATTATAGGTTCATTCGCATTCATCCCTCCGTATTACGCCTTACTTATTTGATCGAATTGTAATTGCACTATTATTTCTCTTTCACCCTATTTGATCCATATTTATTCTGATCATGGATCTTAAAATTTCAAAGCAATTAGTCCCTTTTATAAATTTTGACAGAACAATGAGAAGACGGAGTTGATCTGAAAAATGTGATGTATTTGCGCTATACATTTCGAACAATCTGGTCACACATATACTTGTCAAGGTATTTTTATATGAAAATTAATAAAGGTCAAACAAATAAAAGTACAATTAAAATAACTAAGGGGAGAGAAAGAATAAGAAATTGTCGCGTTATCCTAGGCCATAAAATGACTTAAGGATTTTCACTGATTGAAATCACATTCTGACTTAAGGATTACCAAGGTAAATTCAAGGTTACGACAAATTGTTTTTGTACACATAAGGGGGGTTTAAATTTACGAATAGCCAAGGCTTCAATAAACTTAAGAATTCGACCTTGACAATTTCTATACAACATTCTAAATGCTGTATTAATGTTAATCCTGTGCCCCGTCTCAATTATGTGTTTTGCTATCGATGAACTTGGTTTTCTACCTCCTACATTGATCGGGTCATTTGACACACACTGATTTTGAAGCCATCTGGGTACATGTTCATTGACCCTTGATTGCATTGTTCGATTACTCCGCCCTATGTATGTGTGCCCACACATACATGTAAATTGATAAATACAATGGGATGTGACGTAATCATTAATGCATTGTTTGCATTAATGTAGATTTACTGCTTTCTATGAAAATAACACGAAGTTCAGCGAAGGGATCTTTTTTCACGGATTTATTATTAAGTTGTACAATTATATATATATGAATTTTTTTTGTTAAAGTACTAATTCCGTGAGGAGATGTGAACACGAATAACCAAGATGACGTAATAGAAAGATTATAATGCTATATTACGTAGTACGAATAATAACAATAGATTTAGTGAATATAATAATGCGATTAAAATGTTTTTCAGTAGTTTAGATCATGATTCAATTGAAGCTAGACCACTATGGAAAACCTGGAAGCACTAGACGGCCGTTTTGTCCTATTGTGGGACATCTCAACTATTGAAACTACTACAATCTTCACAAAACCCCATCTGATACTAAAATATTTTTGTTACAATAATTAAAGGTCATAGAGGTGTAAAAATAATTATGGTTATATGATGAGTATTTATGAATAAAATAATGAGAATATAAGACATAAGTAAAAAGATCCCTTCTCTGAGCTTCATGTTCTTAATTTTTAATGTTTAAATGGGAATTATCTGCCAGTTCATTATAAGACGAATGGAAAAATTAATCAATCAGTTAATTATTGAAGGTAATTGCACAAGTACACTAGTGTAAATGTTCATTTGTTTAGATAAGTGCATAGAGGAAAGTAAGGGACTAAACAAACTATTTTTGACATTATAAATCAAGGCTATATAATATTCATTTCTATAATATCCGCTATTTAAAAAAGAACAAGTTGGATCGGAACTCAATTAATATCTCAAACTTTCTTGAGGTCAGTCACAACTCGAATAGCTCAGTAATGTCTCACACTCTAAAGCTGGATAATGTATGTTCGAATCCTACCGGGATCACTAGCTCCTTCGACATTGGTTGCAAGTATATCTTACTGACGAATGCCAATAACCATAAACCCATAAGTCATGAGTGCCTTGTTATCTACTCATATTAAAAGTGTATACTAAAATGAGCGTAGACTGTAATTTGGGCACATTCATTTTAGTATGTTATTTTACTGATTCTTATATCGAGCTCAAGTAAATATTATGAGTGGTTCGAAAAATGACATTCCACCATACAATTATTTGTTAACAGTACTCGTTGCCAAGATAATTAAAAAATATTTGCTGTACATGACTAAATTATGATTCAAACAAATCCTATTATATTCTAAAGGCTTTACAATTTGCCAAAAATTTGAGATAAACTGTCGTAGATATCCTGATTCAAACAGACCACAGATTTTGTTTAAAGGATATTAAATTGAAAATCTCAGCTACTAAGATGTAAATAACTAAAACATTTTGAATGGCAGTCTGGTTGGAACTTCTTTAACGAATTAATAAAAAATCAAAATTACCGAATGTAAATATTATTCACAAAACAATTATGCACTACTTGAAATCATGAGTCAATTGAAGCTAGACCACCATTGAAAACCTGGAAGCACTGGACGGCCGTTTCGTCCTAGTATGGGACGCGCGCGAGCACTTAACCATTAGACCACTGAGCCGGCACTAAACAGATTGTCTGATTGTGTGTAGATGATGATTATCCATTTTAACGTGTGAATAGGTCACTTTTCAAATTTTAATAACTGAAGTAGTGAATGCATTTGTATGCAGATCTACATAGTTGTTTTCTATATGAAATTCAATGAAGAAATAGTACTAGATTAAATTTCTATTTACTCATCAATCAGTACATATTACCATGTAGCTAATTATACTCTATCCCGTCTATTTGAATTATTTGAGTCCGCCCAAATATGCCAGGCTTCGGCTGTTATTTTTTGCTTATGAGAACCAAAACAGTCTTGAAGTATTTCATTACATCCAAGTTCAATTATGTGTCATGTTTCAACAACATTTAACTCTGTCACCGATTTATTTTCACGTTTCCTTAAAATCTAGGAATATGCTTCGAACATAGTTTTCCCTCCTTCATCCTCACATTTAACTGTTGCGAAGCCTTATCTACAGTATACAGCACTGTAGTTAGTGTGTTTGGTTTCACTGACACACTTATGTTTTCTTAGTACTGTGTCTCTGACCGCTATGAACATAGAATTAAGGGTATCTATTGTACGTTCGGAAAAATGCTCTGTTATTAATGTTAGGTTTAGGATCCTTCTAAATTGTTTCAAAGCTCTTTTGTGGTAATATGAGGTAATTATTACGTTAACCCATTCTTTTGTTTGGTCTTTTTTTCTCACTCTCTCCAAGAAACATTTTGATGGACTCTGTGTAGAAATCAAAGTAAATAGATACCGAGCTAAATTGAACAACTACAACCTTCATTCTAGTTCAGTAATTCTTCAAAACCTTCAACCATTCTACATTTTACGGGTGACCGAAAATCCATCATAATATTTTTTTGAAAGCACTTTCTAACGGTTGTCAAAGTTTAGATAATTCAGCTGAAAAGCTTATCTGTGAATATAGTAATTTTCAGTTCTCATTCACTAATATTTAAAAAAGATAAAGTATCCTTTTTGTGTTTGATGATTGTGAAAATTACAGTAGATTTTAGTAGTTCATATTACACTTATTAAAATCGCCTCATTATGTATAACTGAAACTTTGAGCAAAGATATTTACGTGATAATTTGCATATCTAAACTAACTTTAATTACACACACATTGCCGATTTTTTAAATATTTGTGAAATGGTTACAGTTAATATTTTGATGTCATAAAATTTTAATTATCAAGAAGTCATATGATCACAGTGTATTTTTTCATAATTATTCTTTCATATTAAGCGGTGCAATTCGTTAGGGAATATATTTAGCAATACTTTCTTGTCTAGTTGCTCATTAATTTTGCACATTAAGTAATACTATCTACTTAAGTTGATGTAACAATTATTACAGAAGTTTTAATAAACAGCCAATAAATATTGGGGGAATTTCAGTTGTTGAAATCATGAGTCAGTTAAAGCTAGACTAACATGGAAAACCTGGAAGCACTGGACGGCCGTTTCGTCCTAGTATGGGACTCCTCAACAGTGCGCACCCACGATCCCGCCCCGCGGGATTCGAACCCATTGTTCAATAACTGCGATCATTGATTGGAGAGATTGAGTGGCATGACCAAAGAATCAGTCACACCTATGATCGAAATGCAGTCATTTTTCATCCTCCTCTTGCTGACGACTTCCAGTATTCCATTACGCATGTCTTTACGTTTCATTTCATTCTCAAACTATATTTTTAATGTTTAATCTTCCTTAGTATCATCGCTACTACAATTGTATCGACGCGTGTTGTACTTAGTGTGCAGATTTTATTTCGAGTCTACTGATAGTACTTACTTACACCTGTTACCCCTCGTGGGGGGCATTCTCCACGGAACTCTGTCCTGGGAAACCTTTTCCAGTCGGTATTCATCATTCTGATGTCTGCTTCCGATTCTCGACGCAGTGTATCCTTTGACCTTCCACCTTTATGTTCCCCTTCAAGATTCCAAGTTAGGGTTTGCCTCTTGATACAGTTTGGTAATTTCCTATCCATTCCTAACGTCTTTTTCTTATTTCCTCTTCAGTTGGAAGCTGGTTTGTTCCCTCACATAGTAGGCTGTTGCTGACGGTATGCGATCAACGGACATTGAGTATCTTGCGTAGATAACTGCTTATAAATACTTGTGCGTTTTTGATGATGGTTATGATAGTTCTCCAAGTTTCAGCTCTGTGCAATGGAACTGTCTCTACGTTCGCATCGAAGATTGTGACTTTGATATTGATTGACAATTGTTTCGAGTTCCATATGTTCTTCAACTGTAGGAGTGCTGTCCTTGTTTTGCCAACTATTGTCCTTATATATGCATCGGATCCTCCCTGTTCATTGATGATGCTACCCAGATACGTGAAACATTCCACCTCTTTCGGAATTTCTCTATCAAGTAGTATTGGGTTGGCGTTCTCCGTGTTGTGTTTGAAGATCTTGCTTGCTTGTTCCCTTGTGTATGTTGAGGCTTACTGGTACAGAGGCTTCCGCCACATTGGCTGTCTTGACGTGCATTTGCTTGTGCGTTTGTTATGGAAGGTCTAGAATGATGTTGACGATTGTCTCAGGTACACTATGGTGTCGAAGAAAGTTCCATAAGGTTATCTTTTTACTGATATAGTTAATGTTTATCTCAGTTGACATTCAAACTAAATGTGAGTGACATTGTTGATTTTTTAAGAAAAGACAATGTATTACTCGGTCATTTTCAAAAAACCAATAATACAGTTCGATCATTTTATTTTTTAATCAATGAAATTATTATTTATTCGGATGCATAAATATTGGTAAAAAGGGCCACTGAATACATATGCACCACCCATTTATTCATAAAACCTTTAATTCATTCTCGGTTTATTTCAATTTGTTATGGAAATGAAACAACAAAACATAATAACAATACATAAGTTTCACTTCAGCTTCAATTCAGATTGACATTTCAAGTAAAAAAGACTTATGTAATTTGTATAGTTTAATTTTTACTTAAAATTAGACCGTAAACTATAGAAGGGAAATTTTATGCGTTGTTCCTTATCGATTTATTTCTGTATTTCATTTTGCGAAATGCTCTGAAGTGCTTTTGATTAATTTCAGAATACATTAATGCTTTTTTCTTGTAAACGATATTTACATGTTTTATTATCTACTGTCCCCCCCAATTTTCACACAATCAATTCATTAAAATAAAAACACGGCTTATTATTCACTTGAGTTCGAGTTTGTTACAGGAAATTCAGACGATTTTTGTCCACATTCCTTGTTTCTTTTCTGGATAAAGAAGTTTGTGTTAACCGGTTGTTATGTATAGCTAATTCAATAATCAATTTTTGACCACAAGATGTATGTAGTGTTTTGTTTCATCTTTTAACATTCGGTTCAAATAATTTTGAAACTGAAAATAGTTCGTGTCTTGGGTTTGACTTTAGATAAATAAGTATTGAAATAGTATCTTTAAAGCATTTCTTATGTATGATGATTACATACTATTGGCAATGTTAAGGTTAGATGCACAATACACATATTGTTCTCTCAATATACAATCACAACTTAGATCGTCTAGATTCAATAATTGCATTTTGCATAATTGTTTTTCTTATTTTTTTAATGCTAGAATAAATTGTATTAAACGAAATCATTTCATCATCACAATTCGTTCATTAAGAGTATTCCAAATAAATAGTTTTATCGTTATTGGATTTATCTTATCAATATTAGTATTGCGACATTAAATAGATAACACAGATTTTTTTCAGTTGAGTTTGTTTAATTATTCTGTTTATTATTTGAATACGAAATCAGTTAAATATCACTTAAAATAATACGTAAATTGTGGTGTACGCTACTTGTGTCGACAGATATAAGTAGTATATAACACCATTCGGAAGTGAGACGCATGGCAGCAGAAAGCTAAGACGATCGAAGTGAATAAAACAGAAACGGAGTTAGAAAGGAATTGTGAATCGGAAGAACCATACAGAGTGTAAAGAACAGTTGATGGAATATTTGCAAATGAAGTATTTTATGTATGGTTCTTTTGTTCTACTGGAATATGCTGTAATTTTGTATTAAAATGCATTTAGTCGTCCCCGCCTTTTTTCGTTCACTACAAAACCAATTCTTAGAACTATTCATTCTTGAACCAATCAGTTATAATCTCGAATCTTACCCCATGTAATTTGCTTTGAACATTACAGTGATACATCTATCTTTTATCCAATATATATGAGTCTAATAAACATATATTTGATTACTTAATGACCTACCATAGTTAGTTCATTTTAAAAATATACCTTTGTCGATTAAAGCTCTCGGGTAGTGATCTAGCAATTTATATCATAAGTAGTAATTCAATGATAAGTCTTTTATTTACACTCCCCTCTTCATCTACTTGTAGGCAGTCAGAGTATCTCAAGGCGGCCTGCTTGAGCATCTGGGCTATCTGTTCCTGTCATCTAGACATTTCAACAAGTTATCTATTTTTGTTTCTTTTAATATATCATTATGTCTATTAATCGCACAACCTATTCTGGCGCATTTCTGAAAGGTGTACAACCTTTCGTTGTCAAAGTTACAAAATCCCAATAGAAGATAATGTGGTCGCTGGCAATATGCAGAGAGAAGAATATACATTATTCAGATGTTCATTTACTGGACTGCTAACATGTAACTGGCGATCACTTAATATTTATCGTCAAGATCGACCAAGAAGTACGAAACGGAAACTTGTTGCTGAGAATTCTATATTGTACCAAAAATATAATATTGAATAAAGCTTATAATAATAATAATAATAATAATAATAAATCTCAAACTAAGTACGTGACCGAATGCATAAACCTATACTCAATTTGTGATGGACAACATAAGATTTATCCGACTAATGCTTGTACACGCATATCGTATGGTTAATTATTTTCTTTTCAAATAATTTCTTGCTTGTTTTTTCTCGATTCCAGTTGTTTGCTCCATTCAACATTGTAACAGTTATTGTTCGTTTAGAAATTTGGGAACAGGATCGTGTTAGTTTAAAAGTTGAAGAACATCATCTGCTCACTGCATTAGCTCAGTTTAAACGAATGTATGCTAATGTGCGTCATGATTGCTTGCATGCTCTATTGTAAGTTAGTATTCTAACATCTAGTTGTGTTTTTGTTATTGTTTCATATGGTGACTAATTCAATGATTATTAAATATTTATGTAAAATATCAGTTAGTCAGCCAATCAATCAATAAGCATTGTAGAACCTGACACATATGTACGTCAGTTCAAGTTTCCATCACTTTGCCATAATAACTAGATGAAATTATCATGACCAATTCCAGAGTAGGTGAATTAGTTATGTAGTGTATGCTACTTGTGTCGACAGACATAAGTGTGGAAAATTTACAAGTGAAGTATTTTATATATGGTTCTTACATTCTACCGGGATACTCTGTAATTTTGTAATAAAATCCATTGGTTGTGTTCTCGTTCATTACAGTTATAATATCACTAGTAGTAAAAGAGACTAAGTATTTACAATATAGTGTTAGAAAGAAGAGTGGATTTGTTTAATAAAACAAATATAAAATGGTTTCAAAACTCAAAATCTAAGAGAAAACTACTAATTCATACATCTAAGCCACTGTGACAGATTCTCAGTCATCTCACACGAAAATCTCCAATCATTAGTTAAAATTACCGTTCGAATTACTTGAAGCTCATACATTCACCTGGATCTGTAACATCTTTTTTTATTCGTAGCATTGAATAAATTTGAACGGAAAATTCCGCCCTAAGCTAAAAATTTTTTGACCATATCTGTTAGTCATTGAAAACTAGTTTTGCACATTTGGTATTGTTTGTTCGAATCTTCCCATTGATGTTTAAGACCGCAATTGACCAGTCTCTTATTGGCATATGTGCATCCTGTGCCGACTGCCTTGATATTGCCTTAAGTCACAAGCATTATAAATAAACATGGATGGTGGCTAGCAGCGGGATCCTGGATGCGTGTTTCATCCCATTTGGGGCTCGTCAGCTTGATGTACCTGCATCCCCATTACACAAGCAAGTGGTTGTCAGGACTTGGTAGCTAAGTGGATAAAGCGATAGCGTTTGAAGCGAACGGTTCTGGGTTTGAGTCCAGAAGTGAACATCAACTTTGAGATGCACGTACATCCATCTGACGAGACGCGCATCCTGGATTCCACCACTAACTACCATCCATCTTTGCTCATAGTTTTATACAGATCAATCTGATGTATTGATAAATAGTAGTTACTATTGTGACATGATTAATTCTAATATCCAGATCGTAATGTAATGTTTCATCACATGTATGTGAATATTTTTGTTCATTAAAGCTTTATCTGTACAGATGAGTCATCTCAGTAGTGTGTTATCAGTAATACCTATTATTATTATTATTATTCGAAATTTTAGTATTTATTTCTAAAAATCCAATCATACGTACATATATCTATCTGAAATGAACTATTTGATTGCAAGACAGACTAAACAACAAACACTACAGTACATTATTATTATTGTTGCTAATTATAAGTATCGGTAAAAAATACTTCTATTTAACTCGTTTAATCAGTAGATGTTGTCTAGAATAAAAGATGTAAACTTTGACATACTATTTTATGAAATCAAATAGGACTTCCGATTTCCTGCACCCTAGTTAATGACTTGTGTTTCAAACTGACATTACAATAGCTGAACGTCGATTACACTCTCGAACCACTTGACCATTATATCGTATTATTCAAATATTTATAACGTGATAATACTTTTAAACTAACCACTCATTTCGATAAGCTTTTCAAAATCTCATACGACTTGATATTAGTAAAAATGATAAGGTTTAAATACTTCCGTGAAAATTATTCATTTAACAGATGTCTCTGAGTGATACATTCCTTAAATATGCTTTGTAGACTGAATACAAAATTTCTGTTATGTCCTATGGCCCTGTCAATTATCACGTGATGAAACTTCCAATCAGTATACCGATTTATATGACTTTGTCTCTGTGCTAAACCAATGACACGTCAACAAGCACTAGTAGTCTTGCGTCAACTCTGAATCCTTATTGATCCTCTGTATTAGTAACTTCTTGCCTAGCCTAGCCCGCTCAGTCTAGAACACAAATATCAGCCTCCGCTGTGTGAATCGTATATTTCAATTATGCGAAGTAAATATGCAAGCAGACCAGACTACACACTATAAAATGAAGAATAATTATACAAGATCACATTAAAAGTGTCTGAGTGTGAGTGACTGTGACTAATGGTAAACCGTATAATAGTAGCCCATAAGTCAAATAAAAGCTTATAACACGAGGCATATATATATATATATATATATATATATATATATATATATATATATATATATAATAACAATCCATAAATAGGTTTTAGAGATTATCCATAATTTAATCTTATTCAGATACAATGTCAGTCAACAAACCCTCCTTATTTAAATAATACAAATTCATCTCAACTAATCAGTTCTTTTTTAGTGAATGATGAGAATCAATATTCAATCTAATTGACATCACACATTACTGGTTAAACAAATAACCATTTATTATCAAGCTGTACAATCGTATATATATGAAAATTTTGTTTTTGTAAAAGTAACCATTTGACCTTATTACAACTTAAAATACAATTGTTATTGATTATTGAACAAAATAAACACACGTTCATACCTGTTTTATTCAGCCTAAATAAGTGTAGATAAAGTTTGCCGAAGTGAATATGTGTCAGTAAGATGCTAATGAAACTATCGTCTAATGCTATTATCATTATTATTACTACTAATACTAAATCCCATTATGGTAATAGTGTAGTGGACGCTACTCACAAGACTGTTTGTAAGTATTGTGTAGCGGAACAGAACGTCGAAGTTGTTATAATTATCAGATGAAGTGAAGAGTTTCGGAGCGGCGAAAGCATGGCGTTGGCAGAACACTTGAAGACCAGATGAGAAGACAATTCACATAACAGAACAAACTGAATGATGCAAGTGTATAATGTATTATATTAATACTTTGTAACTTCTTACAATAATTATATTCTTCGTGTCCATTGTCGTGTAGTACAATACTAATTAATGCCTAAACGATAATGACTACAACCACTTTGCATACCTTCAACGTATCTATTGATTAATTAGAAACCGCCCAAACTAATGTGTCATCTATGACTGACTAATTCATGCCAACCTAATTTTAATTCAATCTGTTATAGATTTAGGTAGATAAACTTGTTGCTGTTATATCTCTTTACAATCTAATAATATAAATACGAGTTAACTTATTTGTTTAAACTTTGACGTGAATTCACATTTTTCCGTAAAAAATCTTTTCATTTCTGGTTTCTTCTTTTCCTTATACAAACAAAAATTGACCTAACAACATAGAGGTACAAAAGAACAAGGCTCACGAACACGTGGAAAAGCTAATCACATGACCATGTGTATTTATTCGCGTTGTGTTGGTTACAGTAGAGTAAGTTTGAACAAAATTTTTCATTATTCTTTCAATAATTCTTTAATTAATGATTAATTAACTCAGTAATTCTCTGAATTTTCGGTTCATTAGTTGGTTATCATATCAGTCATATTTGCTGACTGAGTCATATAATGTACTGGTATTTGGTGCTGTTATTAGACATGATGATCTATCGTGATGCATTCAATTGATTAACAAGTTCAATAATCCTTACAACTAGTTTATTTTACGTCTTCGACCTTCTTTCAGTGACTCATTCTCATCATATGGTCTGCAATATTTATATGTATGTATTTGAACATTTTGTAATTTGAATCACACGAAATGATCATACTTAGGCAACAACCCTTGAAAATGAGGCAATATTGAAAAGTTGTTTCGTCTTAGTACCAGACTCTTCAGCAATGAGTATCTAAAATCCCACTAAAGAGCTTCTTGATTTTCAACGGGTCGCTAAAAATGTAGATGCATGATGTAGACTGCGAAATTCCAAAATCTTTTTAAACCAATTACATTACAATATAAACTTATCAAAATCACTTAAATTGCCTTTATTTATTACCTTACTTTTTCAAGGAGATTTTATGCAGCTTAGAGATAATGTTCTCACTATAAAAATAATGAAGCTGTTTTAGTTTACTTTGGTAAAGTTCACAATCTTATAAGAGATTGTACCCATAATTTTTTAGTCTCTCAACCATCTCAATACTTCTGAAGAAGAGTTAACTAACCGATTTCATAGTCAATTAACTACTGCCCCACTTAATTATAGAGTTTTAATTTCTTCACAGTTTACAGCTTCTTATTAGAACCTTGAAAGTTTCATCATGATAATATGTTTGCAAAACAAAAAAACTGACAATTGTGTTGATTGTGACCAAAAGTAAATAAATAAAATATTTTATCTAGAAATAAAAATATGGATATTTTATCTACTTATTTTTCGTTGTTGTTGTATGTATTTATTTAGGTATCACCAACACTTGATATTATTGAAACAGCTCGCACTATCGCACATGAACTTGGACATAATTTCGGTTTAAGACATGATACTGAAGAATGTGAATGTCAAGGTTGTATAATGGCTACTGGTGTAGAGTAAGTACTATTCATTGGTGAATTATATTTGTTTATTTTTGATTAATAAATTGCACTTGAAGTTCATCTGCTTGACAGCTGTTGTCGCTAGCGATAGAACAGATCCCATTCACCCCTTATCTTTCTTTCCATTTCGAATTCCAGTATCCCATCATACATACTTTTCACCATGTCTTTCTAAGTCATGTTCTCAAGGTTTATCTTTCATTTTATCATTGCTACTACACTATTTCCATCGATTTTGTTGTTTTTGTCTCGTCGTGTCCTTGTCTGTTTGTCAACGTCGATGTTCATATTGTAACTTGAAACCACTACTTACCTCTGCAAACATCAACGCGTTATTCACTAGGCTACTGAGTCTACTAACTGGTTCGTTGGGTATGAATTTATACGTAAGAGTGCGTAATGTCTCGTTCTTAATATGCAAAACAGTTTGTGACTATCTAAGCTCAGGAGCCTAACCGATAACGTCTGATAAACGAAAGCAATAGTACTGAGTTCTCAAACAACCCATATGACAATGTAGAAATTGGTTAATGGAAGTCCTGAAGATCAACAATAGGAAATTACACAACCTTGCTACTTGAAAGATTCCCAAGTCAACAATTCAAAGTATCAACACTATGCTGATCGTTGTCACTGTCTTTCGTATTATTGTCTCAGAAGACTCTTTCGTCGACTTTTTTTCTGTGATAAGTTAATTTACAGGAATTAAAAATCAGTATTTTGACATAATTATAAACTGTCAACGTTTCTTAATAACGTGTTTTGTTTACAGGTTTGCGTTTTATTTACATTGCGCTATTTCTTGTCAAGATCACAGACTTGTTTTTTTCATATTGTATTTGATTTCCTCCTTAATGTCCATCGACTTATTTGGTTGTTCGAATAAATAACTGTCTTATTAGACAACTTAGTATATCTTAGGTTTTTATACCACCACAAAAATATCGTCCCTTTTTGTTATCTTCAGAAAAAAAAAGAAAGAAATTTCTTATAGACCCTTACTTATGCATGTGTGTACTTTCCAAATTCACTATTAGCATGTCCACATATGAAGTCTAAATATGAATGCCTAAATAATGGTGGGTTGTAATTGTTTACCTATTACGATGCTCTTAAGTCATAATAATCATATTTTCACAAACATGTAAGTATCACGTGGTTTCCAAGGTTACTTTTTCTGACAACAATGTCCATGATTATGATCATGAGAGAGAGATTACAAACATTCTTTGTATTGGCTAAGTTCGGTTTATGTTTTTGGTGAAATAAATAATGCTAAAGGTGTTATTTGCTTCAATTTGATAGTTTCTTTGTGAAATATATCAACTCATTATTAGTTCATTTTGATCATTTGCTAGATAGAGACACTTTCGAGGATATATTCTTTTTATCATGGACTGATATCGATTGTAATATATCTGGAAATAAACGAACATTAGGACGATATATTATTCAAGAGTAGGAATTTAGATGTATTTATTGAAACTAAGAACACAACCACCAGTAGTCATTACGCTCATCCTGAAGTTGCTTTTTGTTGTTCGTTATGAACAAATTGTTAATAGTTTCCATTGCTAGATCCACTTGACAATATGTAAGTATATGGTTACGAAGATTGTTCAGCTTCAATGAAGCCTTGAGTCGATCAATATTAGATTACCGTTGAAAATCCAGAAACACCGGATTGCCGCTTCGTCCTGATATAGGATTCCTCAGTAGTTCACATTTACGACTTCACACACAGGAATCGAACATTAATTGGCTCATTATTTCATTGTAACTCAACAGTCTGCAAAACCCTATACCTCTAAAATTAATTTCTGATTGATTCAAACATGAATTTATATACTTAAGCTTGGATTATGGAAATCATACGATGTTGTGTTATGCTGATCCATAGTTCATGTCAATTTTTATTGCAAGAATATCGTATGTTATACAGAATAAAATGTCATACGGGAAAACAGAAACAAATACTGCACTGAGTAATCATCATATTTAATTAAAACGAAAGTAACGTTGAACAAAAATCATAATGAGTAAAAGAATGTAATTTTGACTTTTGATCCGGTTATATCATAACCTATTCTGTACTTATCTATCATCAACTTTTGTTCTCATTTATGGAATTACACAACGTCTTGTATTAAGTTGTGTGTTACTATTGTTACTACATTAATCGATTTTTCAGAAAATGTCATTTAAATATAACATTTATTATTGTTACACTGTATTCGGTCTTCGTAACTTTTATTGGATTGTAGTTTTGCTAAAACCCTACCGATACATGTTCACGTTGACTTGTGATTGGCTTCATTTTTACAAATTCTATTTGTAATACAGATTTTTATATATGTGACAGGCTGCTAGTAGTTGATAATCATCCAAATTTAAGTTTACCGATTGAAATCTACATCATAAACGTGTCCAAAATTAGAACCTTGGTGGAAATGTCGAATGAAGTTACCTCTGTCGATTTGCTTATTTTAAGTTATTTCACCCTAAGTTTACTACCACTGATCATGATTTTCACGCTGTCCTCAACAATCCAATGTTTATCTGCCATTACACCTCAGATTAACGGTCACCGACTTCATCGATTGATTCCATTTCCCAGTTAAACTGCCTTCTTCGTTCTTTACATGTACCCCTACAATAATCAGTAATAGACGTCGAGGTAGGCAGTGATCAGCCATATGTTACTCATATTCCCTCCAACTTCACCGATGGTAATGCAAGGTCTCAACAACCTATTCACCACCTCTACCTAGAACATTATGTCCAAACATAGTGTGAATCTCTCATTTACTCAGTTACAGCCACTCCACTCCTGAATCTCTTGTTTACATTTTTTCCCATCCGACTGGATTACGTAAAAATATACCTCTCCAATTTATGATATCATTCAATATTCATTATTATTGTTTTTTTCGCTTCTCACCTCAAAGATTTGGCACAACAGTTATGAAATGGTCACCATGTTCTATAAGAGATTTACCAGGTCTATTAAACTATGGAATGGGTGTTTGTTTACATGATTTGCCTGCTAGTGGGAGTGTAACAATTAATTCTTTCGTACCAAACTCTAAAACATCTACACATAGAAAGAATAACAATAATGATAATAATAATATAAGTATTCCAAGTGTTGTACATATTTATGATTGGCAAAGTGAAGCGAAACGAATTCCAGTTAGTCGTGTATTAACTATAAGACAACGTCATTCTGCCTCATCTGTTGAGAAATATGCAAATGGATTATGTGGAAATGGGGTGTTGGATCCTGGTGAAGAATGTGATTGTGGTACACAGTAAGTTAAGCCAGGTCATTTTTTATATTATTGTTCTTTCCATTTCGTAAAAAAATTATCTACATTGTTATTTAATGCAGATACATTAATCTTAATAAAGGTGAAACCTGTTCAATTCGTCACATCGAATCAGCATAGCGAGTTGAGTTTCTAAAACAGTTAATTCACGCACACTCCAATCAAGGTAGTCTTTACGTACCAGCATAAGTCAGTTTAGCCATCACTGACTTTACGGAGTGATACCAAGTCTTGATATGGCCTCCCCTAACTTTCTTTAAACCTACTCCTACACCATCAAACATTGTTAGTCAAGGTAAACGGTAGTTTGACGATCATTACAGATGTTCTATTCAACTTGGTCGATGAAGATTCACATCCTCATTAACCCAACTTCAACATTGCTCACTTCAGTGGATGCAAATATATCAGTATTAGTTAACAATGCTATTTAATTGTGATAACTTTATTCAGTTAGAATCATACCACTTTTCTTTCTTAGTAAAATATTATTTGATGTATAAATTGAGTCGTTCAGTGTTTTGTAATTGTACAATGATTGCATGCATTTGTATTCAAACTTATATCGAATGCTGAGTGTTTGTTTGGATATTTTGTTTGAATAAATAGTTTGAAAGTTGTTTCATAATAGACTGGAAACTGTTTAACGAAACCTTTAAAAATCAGAAAACATTATATACTTCCTTCATCACATTTCGAAAGTACCCATCAGCATAGATCTTTCATATTATATTATATCGAGGCTGAGACTGGTGATTGTGATAGGAATCAATCCCTAATTTCGAATGCAATGTTCTGCATTTTTTAATTTTTGATGTAACATGATCGTCATCGGTCCTAAACTGATTTACCTCCACAACCCACGTTGTTTCGTTGAATTTTCGGATTGTTCGTCTTAAAACAAGTTACCAACGTGCAGTGAATCATAAATGAATTTTAAGTAGTGGTAATATCCATAAATATTCTAGGTCTGTAATTCCTCTGATCTCCAAAAAATACTTTTCAGTTTTGTCTTTTATACTATGCACTGGAAATCGAGTGGTTAGTTGGATATTTACACCAAATCTTTTCAAGTTAACCAATCATTTCGTCTTTTTAACGTTACACTTTACTGATGGATACTTAAAAGGAATGAAATTCCTTCGCATAGGCCACTATGTGTTTAGCAATTCAAACCATCCGAAAACAAATAAATAAGAAGAAACCTGAAGGACTGAATTGTTTTAAACTCTAGTATACTTTAAATGACTCAATAGTTTGATCTGTTCCCCTTTTGTTTATATAAATTGTTCAAATCTGTGAACAATTTGAAACAGTGTAGGAACGTGCATGTCTGTGTATATATTAGCTAAAGTACCATCACTCATAATTGGATAGAAAAATAATTTATATTAAAGAAATCAAAATAGTAATTCGATTAATTTTAATGATCCATACTTCAAAGGAATGTAGCAGTTATTGCTTAAAGTGAACTTCATTGGATTTTATTGTTGGATTATATATTTATATAGCCTAACAAAACTTCAGACACCAATGGGAAATGGAATAACTGGCGAGTGTGAAACACATTTCAGCCAACAATTCAATATACTTGATTTATCCACCGATCAATTATTTGGTCTTTTAGTAATGCCTATCATTCGTAGAATAGTTACCATGTATAATCCCTGTAATTATCCGCATTCATTTTTTAACACAACTAATATTAATTTTCCATCAACATCACAGTGAACGGAAAAAATCAGCTAAGAGTAGAAGATGTGAATTCGTGATACTTAGTGAGTTTTAGAAGTTTTTTTGCACGATACAAATTCCACCAGAAGCCTTTAGCGAAATTACTTTTCCAAGAGTCATCACCATAGAAACTTGAGATGTTTCGTTACCTAGACATCAACACTACTAGTCTACAATGTAATGAGACATTTTGAAATCGATACACTTTTCTTCTTGGTTGTCTGTCTACCAATCCATCTAAATGATAGTCATAATTGAGTGTTATCTTTGAAACCACTGACTTTAGTGACAAACGGTTGAAACCAGAGTCCTAACCTATGATGAGCAAGAAAAGAAATGAAAAAGGATAGACAGATAAAAAACAATCGATAGTGGAGCGCAAGATTTGGAACAGAAAATAATTTAACTCACTTATTTGAATTAGTATTGTCTCAATTTTCTTAATTCTTATTTTCGCTCGTCACTGTCTACTTCCCAACAATTTCACATTAGAAGGGTTTTTTTGGATATTATAGTGGTTTCAATGGTAGAGATCATGAGTCAATTGAAGCTAGACCATCAGTACTTCAGTGCTTCCAGATTTTCCTTGGCGGTCTAGCTTCAATTTCCTATATATATATATATATATATATATATATATATATATATATATATATATATATATATATATATATATATATATATATAATAGTGAGTTGTATGCAAAATAGATTCCGTCTTCATATTGAGTATCCTATTCATTTCTAGTTTCAATACTCACCTGGTCGGGGCCCAGTATAAAAAGCGTATATATCCGTATGTATTAGAACAACCGCAGAACGTAACGTAGTTGTACCCCAGATGACGTTAATTCATTTTAGCTCACATGCATTATTTCTTCAATATGCATAAATTCATAAAATTAATTTTTTTCATTTTACATCAATTTGTATCACTTTTAACTTTTTTAAAATAAACTATACTTTAGAACTTCATGTCCAGAAAAGTGGCAAGCCTGTTGTGACCCAGTACGTTGTCGATTACGTGGTAATTCTCAGTGCGCTGGTGGTCCATGTTGTGATATTATTAAAAATGATTCCCTGGAAAATGTAAATCAATCAGCATCTTTTTATTGTAAATTGAAACCTTCTGGAACTATCTGTCGTAATGAATCTGGTACTTGTGATTTACCGGAATATTGTGATGGTCGTAGTCAATGGTGCCCAGCCGATGTATACAAAATCGACGGTGAATTATGCTATACCGATGAAGGTCGTCGTGTAAGTGTTGTCATCTTCAAAAATTCATTATATTAAGTATATCCATTCAATTGAAAATTTTTATAGGAAGGTTAGTATTTAAGACAGACACAGGCGTCATCAACATACAGTCTATTAATCAAAAAGAGTAGCTAAATTTAAGTTAAATGCACCTTCTAAAAATATTTTATAAACTTTCAAAGATATATACATTTATATTACAGTCTTGATATCGAGTGATAATGTCATCTTTACCAAGAAACTTAAAGCCCTCTTAAGTTTAATTCAGCGCAATGTTTTAAATATCTATACTGTTGAGGTGTCTTGAACTAGGATGAAAATGTTGTGTAATGCATTTTGGTTGTCAGTGGTCATTTTATTGATGCCAGATTTATAATGAAAATTCATCATGAAGCTATGCGAGAACACACTACAAATCTCTATTTTAATCTTTTCAATTTCTGTGAAATATAACATTTGCGAAATATATAGTCTGAAAAAGATATAATTCGTATTCGGCGCAATAGAAATTATGACAGTGTCAGCAGTGGCTTAATGTCTAGAGCACTCATCTTTTCGGTAATAGGTTCGAGTTTTGTCCCACTCCGGTTTGTTCAACCAGGTAGTATCATTGACCTTCCTATCAAACGATATGATTCAAATCTCTCAATACATAGATTGTACGTTGTAAACAAGTTAAATCAATTAGGATGTAAGCTAATGTTCATCAAATAGCTAATAGGTTCCATCCCCTTAAATATTAAGTTTAATATATAACTGTTTATATCATTATTAGAAAGGGTTTGGTTTAGTAACTATCTTGGTAAAGTAGCTTAGTGGATAGCGCATTTTGCGCTTAGAGTAAAATGTACTGTATTTAGATGGAGGTGAAAAAATCAAAATAAATTTAGGCCCATCCGGCTACTAGCCACAATCCATCTATCCTAAATAATAACTGTTTAGTTGTTATCGATCAGATATTAATACTGATTATCTTTCCACAGAGAATTGCTAAATGACATGTACTCATGAGTTGTGTCTGTAAAATATTGAAACTCGGTGTAAGAGGAATAGTACCCTAATACATAGTTTTTGTATCGTCTTACGTAATCGTTTGTTAACGGTTTATTGGATGTTGTGTAACATTGATATTTGTTAGATACGCACAAGTAGTTATTCAAATTTAACTCACTTTTAAACGTTCTCTATTTTGGTTACAGAGAAAACGCATAATCTGAAGGTAACCTTAGACTGAATACTCTCTTGAAACCGCAAATATTCAGGCGATTGTTTTGTTCTAGTTTTATATCACTTTAGATATGACCGAATCCAAATATTTTTATCATGTTATGGATAACAGGTTATCATTTTTTATTGGCTGTTTGTCTTTTTTTAGTTATTCCCTATCTTATGCTATCGATTTTTATTTGTAGTTATTTTCGTATTTAAATTACTTCTCTGATTACTACTTTCTATGATTGAAGTGAGTTATTAATGAGCAGTAGTGATTGGTTATTCTAGTAGTCGGTTTTATTTTGCTAGGTAGTTGATTAGTTTAATTACATATGTTTTATAATGAACTGATATCATGGTAAACATTTGAAAAGTAATGCTTTTTAAATTTTAGGACTCGTGTTACAGACTAATCTTATTTCAACAATTACTGACTTAAAGAGATAATCCTGGAGTTCTAGTGAGAAGCCTTCAACCAGGTCTGTTGTTATATATCAACTCACTGAAGACAATGGTGTACAGTGGCGCAACTTCGGGGATTGGTTGAAGTTAGACATTAACACCCTTGGATACCGGCTCAGTGGTCTAGCTGGTTAAGCGCCTGGCGCGAGACTGATAGGTCCCGGGTTCGAATCTCGTGAGGGGCGGAATCGTGGATGCGCACTGCCGAGGAGTCCCATACTAGGACGAAACGGCTGTCCAGTGCTTCCAGGTTTTCCATGGTCGTCTAGCTTCAATCGACTCATGGTTTCAACCAGTGAAATCATTGGAAACCAGGATGAACTGGACAGTCTCTTCATCCTAGTATGGATCCCATTAATGGTGGGTGTCGACGACCCTACCGGGTATTAAACTCTGGACCTTTAAGTCTCGTAATGAGCACTTAAGTAACCTTTGGACCATTTGGGTAGCGTCTTAATGGTTTATACTTTTAACTTTAGTCAACTTGTAATATTGCACAACTATCTTTTCAATACTGTCTCACTCGTCAACATAGATGAACTCCTTTGGTTCCAACTTCTCACTAGAATTCTAGGAATTACCTTTGAAAATTAGTCAGTAATGTGAACGTGATTATTTTCCACACAATGAGCTTGTTAAGGTTATATTGTTGACCTCATTTATGTATTACACAAACTCTGGTGATCTACAACATTTACATCATTACACAAAATCCTTAAAAATAAATTTTTATTTAGTGAAATCCCTTGTCACTTAGAATTTTGTCAGTAAACCGATAAATTCTAAAAATATAGTGAACAATTCAATATATTTAAATAAATGAGTTGTTGTTTTGTCCTGTGACAATTACTGTATGTTGTATACACATGAAACACAGTAAAACTGTATCAACATACACGTACACACACGCACTTAATAGTCAACGAGATTGTACGAAAAGTGTGTTATGTGATAAACATGGAAAAGAAATAGGGGTTTTCACTTCCTCTCTGTATATCTATCTACCTATTTCATTATCTACTATTTTCTTCACTAGTTGTTTACTAATGTTTACTATATATCTGATTGTATGAATAAATATGAGAAATAAATGCATCGACTGTTTTTCCAAAATGTTTATTGTCTTTTATTCTGGATAGATTTGAATAGATTGTTAGTCGTTAATGAAAATGATCACTCTGATTATTATATTACTTAATTAATGGCATGTAAAACTTGTCATGCTGTCGTACTTTAATTTTATGACTGATTTTAAATACAAGAAATTATTTTAAACAATATACATATTACTAGGTAATACTTGACACAGTTTAGTGTGAGAAAAAATCAACATTTCGACTAAGTAACTACTACAAAATGGTGTCAAGTTCATTTGCGCTAACCATTAAACTTATTGTAATTAATGTTCTCGTAAGGATATGAAATATATATGAGTTAAGTTTTTAATTGAGATCATGAATCGATCAATGTTAGACCACCGTTGAAAACCTGGAAGCACTGGACGGCTGTTTCAGTGGTGGTCTAACGTAGATTGATTCATGATCTCAATCAAAAACCTAATCTCTACAATCCCATACTGTTATAAGTTAACTGTCAAGTTAACCATCCAGCGCTTCCAGGTTTTTCGATTTTGATCTAGCTGAGGTCATTTCGTAATTTTTAATATTATTGTAATATTACAATGTCCACAAATCCCCTAAACTAATAATAATCATATGCTCACTAGCGATTAGATTCAAGATGTAACTTATGGAGTTCTAGTGAGATGTCATGATCTACGGAGGTAATGCATGAAGAGTTCCTCGTTATGGCTCTACACCGGTTAATATATAGTTTTTTCTTAAATTAAGCATAAAATTTATTTCAAATAAATAGTGATAAATCAACCTAACAATATTTATTGAAGTAACCCAATTTATTATTATTGAGTGAAAATAACGAGAATAAAACAGAAAACTTTCTCAGAATGGGTTTTGTGGAGATTTTAGAAATTTCACAAATTGAAATCATGAGTCAGTTGAAGTTAGACCACCATTGAAAACCTGGAAGCACTGGACGGCCGTCTCATCCTAGTATGGGACTCCTCAGCAGTGCGCACCCACGATCCCGCCACACGCGGGGCTCGAACCCAGGACCTACTGGCTTCGCGCGCGTTGTGAGATAGGAACTCACTGAAGACAATGGTGTACGGTGGCGCAAATTCGTGGATTGGTTGAAGTTAGACATTAACACCGTTGGATGCCGGCTCGGTGGTCTAGTGGTTAAGTGCTCGCGCGCGAAGCCAGTAGGTCCTGGGTTCGAGCTTCGCGTGGTGCGGGATCGTGGATGCGCACTGCTGAGGAGTCCCATACTAGGAGAAGACTTTCTGTTTTATGAAATCATTTAATGAAGCTTTACATTTGTATTTATAATTGCTCAATAAATGTATGCGTTTATATAGAATAATAGATTATCTCATAAAGTGTTGAAAGGAAAATAGTGTAATCATGTGTACCAATATCTTTGTGTTAAAATAATAAATAATAATTCCTCTAACAATTTTTCATAACTAGTATTCGAATGTTACTGATTACTGGTTCTAATGATTCAGCGTTCTTCTCGAGACCTGAATAATCTGAATTCGATTATTAAAGGGATCGTGCAACCCCGCTACTTGATAGTAATATCCTTTATACAGCTGTCCATTGATCTCTAGTTCTCAATCATACCCCACCTAGGATCATTCTACAACTGAAATAACCTGCAAATTAAAGTAATCCTCAGAAAACTCCTTCAAATAAACTAAAGTTTGTTAATTATTTAAGTAAACATAGATTATTAAGTGGTAGTAGAAATAATATTTTATTGTAAATGGAGCCGATATAAATTATTGAATTTGTTTACACTTTTTACCGATTGTTATTATTGTAATTCTTACAATTGAACAGTGAAAGATACTTTCATCTTGTTGCCTCCAACATAAAATTATAAATACATGTCTGCTATTACCACCACTGCTAAAAATAAATACGTATTTCTATTCATCGCTGTTGTTCACATTTGTAATTATATTTATTTCCATTTCGACCATGTTAGTGTTGTTTTTATTGTTGTTGTTATTAAAAATGAAAGAAACAGTTTAGATGAATGTAAACAGGAATTAACATTTTTAAAAAATCATACACAGTTGTTTCAGTACGCTAATGTTAAATATTCATATAACGAAAGCTATTCAAAAATATGTACAAACTCATACACTCTTCAAATAATTATTGCAATACAAATGATCCACTAAGTGACAAGTTGTCGACACATGAAATTACTAAATTTTATTATTAAGCGTAGGTCATTTGTAAGAAAAATTGAGACAATAATCAATCATTAGACCAGTTATCACAAACGCTACAATAGAAAATGGCTCATGAGAATAAAGAGAGAATAAATGTGATTATAGAAGTTGGAAATAGTAATGACAAACTAAGTTTGTTTGTCAGTTACATTGTATGTGCATAGGAAATCAGGTTAAATAATATATGGTCGCGACTGGTAATCTACATTTTATGCACCTTAGATAGTGTCCATGTGGTGTTGTGTGCACTTAAGATAATTTTGTATTAGTGTTTGAGGTTCGGGTTATCAGACTGATTACACGAATTTTGCATTGATTGGGTTAATTTAAAGAATAGCGTTGGTATTATCAACCTAGTTACAAACAGTTTCCCAGTGTTGTACATCTTATGAGTATGACAGCTACTTGGTATACAGAATGCTTTCCAACTAACTTGGTTTTCAATGAAATCGTGAACCCATCAATGTTAGACCACCAATAAAAACATGGAAGCACTGGACGGCTATTTCATCCTAGTATGGGATTACTCAACAAGGCACATCCACGATCCCGCACGTGCGACCTGAGCCCAGGACCCTCGGTCTTGCTCGCGAATGCTAAACATCTAGACTACTGAGCCGGCGTCCAGTAGTGTTAATGTATAATTTCAATCAATTCAACGATATTGTACGATCATCAATGGTGATCTAACATTGACCGGTTCACGATTTCAATAAAATTCAAGTCTCCACAACCCCATACAGAAAATAACTCGATTTTATATCTGTACATATTATAAAATGAATAGTCTATGTTCCATCTTGGTTACTGTCCTTTCTCTGAAATTGCCGTAAATATATATCCTATTTATGCTCATAAGTTATTGACATTATATTTAAACTATCAATTTCTTAATGGCCTTAGTAATTTACTGTATGACTGAGTGTTTTGATTGTTTTTGCAAATAACACGAACCTAAACTATAATGTTAAATCATTTCATTCGTTATTGGGCCAATTGAGTGTAGAAACCTATCTTTATTATTATGTTATTTGCCACGCTTTCACTCGTCCTGTCTTGCTGTTATTGATTGATTTAAATTCTTTAGCGTTCTTGTTCAACTTCCAAAGAATTTCTTAATAAAATGTGTTGTGGATGCTAGATCTCCAGAAGTCACCTCGTAAACTTCTCATTTCTGTAATTTTATTGTAGAAGTCGAAATTTCTCATTTTAGCACCAAAAGTGCCAATTTTTTAAAATCAGCTTGTGTTTCCCACCTAGAAGCAACCTAAATTTCATTGGTTGGTTTTCTCTTTCAGTACGCTGTTTTGTGACGTTTTTCAACATTGTTGTATTGTACATATACGCATGACTTGTGTGCTTGTTCTGGATATTTTTGTATTTTCAAAGTTGAATTCACGAGTCGATCTAATATAGACCACCATTGAAAACCTGGAAGCACTGCACGACTGTTTCTTCCTGGTATATCAGTCAGTAACAACGTAGAACTTCGTACGTACGTACATCAGTTCGAGTTGCCACACCACATTAACACAGAGATGCAGTGGTCGATTCAAATCCCGTAGTGGTAGAGGTAATAAGAGTATAAGCAGTAATCGCAAAGATTAGTGTTTGGAGATGTTACTTAAAGAGTATAATACAGTGAAATAAATTTGGGAAGAGAAAAAAAGACAAGAAGGAGTCAGGAGATCAAAATTTGGGAGAACACAAAGAGTGGATGCACCTGCGCCATTGCAAACGATTTTCAGCAGTGTCATTTAGGGTCTCTAACCATCGGTTGCTATCGTCTCGCGGTCCCCAATCAGGTAGTCTACACCTGCCAACATTGTTCAGTCAACTTGTTAGTGACTTCATGGACTTGTGCCATGTTTTGGTCTGGCGGCCCCTAGCTTTCTTCCAACCTACTCCTATACCACTGAACATTGCATGTCGAGGCAGTCGGTGGTTGGGCATACGTAACAAGTGTCCCAGCCATCTCAACTGATGAAGTTTCATCACTTCACCAATTGATTTGCCATCCTTACTTAGTACCCATTTCCTAACAAATGCGTTACTTACTCGATGGTCCCAGGATATACGAGCAATATTTCGAAGACACCTATGGTCGAATACTAGTAACCTACGAATATCCCCTACTCTTACCGGCCATGTTTCACTGCCATAAAGTAGGGCGGAACGAACTGCTGCACAGTAAACCCGTCCTTTGGTTGACAGACGGATATCTCGCCTACGCCATAAATGACGCAAGTTACCAAAAGCTAATCGAACCTTCTGTATCCGTGCTGAGATTTCGTCACATACCAGACCACAAGGGCTGATGAGACTTCCAAGATAAGTGAAGCGGTCGACACACTCAACTACTTCACTCCCTATCATTAGTTCGGGTGTCGATGTAACCCAATCCTGAAGCAACATTTTGCATTTCGAGTGAGAGAATCGCATTCCGAACATGCTTGCATTGTTGCTTAGAGTGGTCAGAAGACTCTGCATGTCATCAGCATATTCTAAGTCAACAAGTGGATTTCCCGGTAGAAGTTCAACCCCTTGAAATTTAGATGAGGAAAGTGTGGTATGTGACTCCTTAACAGTGAGCTTTCATTATTCCCCACTTGTTCATTCATTCTTTCGGTCTGCTTGTAGAGTTATATATTTTCCTGGCTAAATGTGGTTTTCTTCATCTAGTTAGTCGGGCTGGGGCTCAGATTAATCGCTTAGCTTGTTATATCACTGACTTTCGTTCCGTTCGTCAGTTCTAGGTGATATCTTAATCCCTCTGCAAATTGAAGCTTGTTTAACTGATCATCATCAAAGTTTCGCATGTTTAAATACTTTAACAACATAATAGTAATAATTTAAATAACTATAATTGAATTACATTTATATCATAATGCTGTTATGTATTACTTTCAATTAAGTTTTCATAATATTTTCAAATCGCTAATAGTGAACAATATTCATTCATCAATATTTCGAACAGTTTAAAATTAACTATAGCATTCTATTAAGAAATGAATGCTCAATAAAACAGTTTATTCTGTTTAGTGAATTTACTTTCTATATGCTATGAGTTTTATCCATAATTTGAGATTATAAATTACAGTGAATATGTATTACGCTGACTTGATTTCTTTTTTTTTGACAATGCAGTTAAACTGTTTGCCAAAAATTATTTTTACAGGAAATCTACATAATTTAATACTTTCTTCATTATTTTTCAAATCGTGTTTTTTTATGTTTGCCTTTTTTGCTTCTCTCTATATTCAATTATCCATTCCACTTTTTTCTTGTCCCAATAACCTTTGAAGGAGTTTTGTCACAGAATAATATCAATTAGGTTATTAATAAGAACCAATGTGTACTAGTCAGTTATGTGATCTTGGTGTTGGACATTTCAAGCATAAGCACTACACAGCTCCTCTCAAGGGTCTAGCTCACAGTTTTCGTTGAGAGCCCTCAACCATTATATCATTGAATCGACAATCAACGATACACATTTCCGACTCCAATCAATTCATAATATAGTGCGACAATCATCCAATATCATTGTTGGTTACTGTTTCTCTCGTCATATATATGAGCTTCACCGGCCACAGCTTCTTACTTAAACTTCAACAACTCGTCTCATATTAGGCACAGTAATATATTATCGATGTATAGATTCTAAAAACTTTATCTGATTAGTTTTATACCGTGCTCTCTGTTTTTTAATAATGTCTCAACTGAAGTCTATCTTCGACAAATTACCTACTACAAATTTAGCCATCAATGTTAAACCAGGTATGCTTGTTATGTGACATCTTTCCTGGTTCACTTCTCTATCTAAATGACATGAAGCAACAACATTTGTCATAAGAAGGATGATAACAGTAATATAATCACAGTAACACAAACAAGAACTGACTTGTGTCCTATTTTTATTCTCTCTCTATTTATGTTTATCTGCCTAATAATTAACCTGATCGATGGTTAAACTATTTTGTACTTTAAGCATTAAAAACAAAAGCTTAGTCCCTGTTGATACACAATGAATGGTCATATCAGTGCTAACTTTTCATACCAATTGGTTTATGTTGTTAGTAGAACTTTATGTTTTTTGAGAGCGAGAGTGAGGGTAAAGAAAACAAAATATTTCAAACTGATCAGTCAATCAATCATTTATTTGTTTATGTATGTTTTTCCTAGTCTCCTGTAGTAAAATTTATCGTCTGAAAGTTAGGCATTAATTGCTTAGTGATTAGACCGCTCAAATGTTAACATATATTTCACTACACCTTTACCTTGTTTTCCAAAAAATCTACATTACATCACATACGTACCTAATGTGTGAACTGACAAAAATATTCACAAAGTATTTTGGATTTCTCCTTTGTCATTACTTAATCGTTATTCCAGAAGAACACAATGCTTGATTTTTTTTTAAAAAATTATAATTATTTTCTGTCGACTTTTTTTTCATTATCAAAGGCTCATTGTATTCGTGGTGGTTGTCGTGAAGCAGATGGTTGGTGTCGTGTATTATGGGGTAAAACTGCCAGACTTGCTGATAAATATTGCTTTTATGAAAATGAAGTAAAGAGTAGAAAATCTAATGTCGATTCTGTAGCAAATTGTGGCGTACACCGACCATTATCTAAAAATCGATGGGAAGATGTAAAAACGTGGACAGGAATAGCTTGTGAAACATGGTAATTTTGGTAGTTCATCAAATTCCTTTTTTTCTTGTAATTCATTATTCTTAAACTGGTTTTACTGTAATTTAAGAGTAGATTGGTCCTAAAAAAACAAATATCAGAGATTTAGAACAAACTTGTAGGTCGTTTATTCCTACGGATATGAATATCATTTATTCAGTTCCAGATTCCATTTGATCAGTTTTCATCGCTTCGCTATAATGACTACCTATAAAAATGTCTCGATTTCGGTTTTAATATTAACTTTATACATAAGCAAGGCGGGGAGTACTGTGGTGTCTTTTAGGATTACCACACTATTTTATGACTTACGTCCTCCCGAAAATTATCACGTGACAAAACCACCAATCAGAGCACCAATTTCTATGAATTTGTCCCTGAACTAAACAATAACAAGTTCATTTATTGCGTGATATAGTCCAATCTACATCTTTTGAGTCACAAAGTGACTCAAAGTGAGAATGCATAAGCTGACAAACTTCTAATTGATGTAAATGAAATGCTGCGTGAGATATTTGGAAACTGTTTTCAGTGGTATAAACGAATATATTCTTCATTTTTGGTATATATTACAATTCTAAATAGTAGTATAATACAGGATGCATATTTTTGACACTATTCGGAAAGTCATCAGTTGAATGTGTTTGCGTTTCACATTGAAACTCAATCTCCCTACCCATCCCTGCATATCTATGTTTTGGATTTCACTTCTAACTTGAATGTTAATATATGCCAAGAATTTGTATTTGTACATGACATCAAGGCATCCTCACTCGATTTACATATTCCAACAGAGTCATAAGATAATAGTCCTAAATTATAACATGAGGATAATACAACTCTTCACAAACTTATCCCTTATGCTTTATCATTTTCACAATCATTGATACCACAATTATTTCGAATATTTATTTATTTATATGATTAATTTTCTCCTTTTGTATGGTGATATGCAATGAACCAAGTGTCAGTAATGTCCCTAACCAAAGTAACCAATAATATGTTACTTTAAACCCCCACAATTTTTACTCAGTATTGTCTCGTTCTTATCACCCTTTATTTAGCTATCAACCAATAAAAATTTTACTCTTATAAATATTTTGCTTTTCGTAATTATTCATCTTTGCATTTCCAATTGCTATTCAGTATGTGTATTTTGCTCTCATTTTCTGGCGAACTATATTTGTTTTGTACTGATTACAGTGATTCACATATGGGAAGCATATAAAGTATTAAAATGTAGTTTTACTGGTTTTGACTTCAGTTAATACATCTAGACTGTGTGCTTCGACAATATAACAGAACTTGTTTTAGGAGCAAACCTATGGAGAAAATGAACTTAACAAGGTTTCGAACAGCAATCTGGTCGATGGATGACATGTAAAAAGTGTTGAATTCCCCTTTCTTCATTTAACAGTGTGTATCATTCAATCGAAATTTTAAGTGAAGAAATTTTATTTGTTTTGTATCGTTTGGAAGATAATAATACTAACAATTATTATTATTAAAGTCTTCATTGAAATTTAATCATTAATATCGGCTAGAAAAATCCTAGATATCCTTAAAAGACATTATTTCATTTGTACTTTTTACCACTTTTATTCCTGTTGTATTTGTGTGTCGCTCATTTCCAATTTCTTGGGAAAAAGTTTTTAAAAAATGAATGACGTAACTAGCATAAACTATTGTTTGATTGGGGTTAGTGGTTTAACCATCTAAATAATTCACAATTGTTAGATGCCTATGATTTTGGTGAATCTCTGTTCTCTCAGCTGGATGGTCTGGTCGTGGAACCATCATCGTTCTTCTGAACAACATTATCAGAACAAACTTCAAGTAAAAGTGAAGTGTTCGAATTTCTCCACATTTGCCTCACATCTTGCCCTGCAGATTGGTTAGCCGTTCTTTCGAAAGATAGGCTTTAGATATTTCTCTTCATTTTCCCGCTTTACAAGTGTGTTGCAGTATGTCCTCGCCTTGTTGAATAAAGTGTGTACGCAGTTGATTTGTGAGTTCATTCACCTGAACTACAAATCTCTATCATATCTGTGATATAGATTATTAATAATGATATATTTCGATTGGTACGGGATGTTCATTTTCTTCTCTAACATGGATAAAAATTTGGTTGGGTATTGTTATGTCCCGAAAAGAACGATGAATGGTAATTTTGGGATCCATTTGTGGACCAGTACTATACGTATATTTTTATCGCATAATTGTTAATTAACTAAACTATTCATATTCATGTCTCTCTTATCATAAGCTTTATTTTAACCTATGAACTGTTATTATACGATTTTCCATTCTTGAATTATTCCCTGTCTATTAGTCACTTCCTCCCTCATTCACAGCCACATCTGGCTAATTCCACAGAACGAAGCGCTATTCATCTCCGTGCAGGTCAAACAAGGAATGTAGTAGTGAATTGTTTTTCTCACTAACTGTTTGTGTCCAAAACTATGAGTCATACCAATTTGTCTATATCCACCTTGTTTCCTTAGTTTTGCAATAAGATATATGTAAATCATTCAGGCTATATTGTTATAAGAAGAATACTACAACGGTCACCGGATCAAACTTTCAATATGTATCTTGACATTTCGTGTACTACTACTACTATTACTACATTAAGTTCAGCATCCAAAGTCATTCAAGGCTTGAAATCCTAGAACATTTTATGATTTAATCACGTTCTATTTTTCTTTAGACCGATATATTTGTTACATAACTGTAGGCACGATCGTATAGTATCAATAAGTGATGTCGAAAAAATTCTTCGTTAACTTGTATTTATTTCATATTCAATGTTAATTTTAGCTTATTTCATTTCTCCACCAAGTTAGAGAATTTTTTCCTTCATTCAGGCATGATACGTCCTGTGGACGATTATGGTGTCATCATCAAAATGAAAAAGCTATGCTTCTTGGTTGGATTCAGTCACAAACACGTGTTATTCACTCATCTGGTCGATCATGTTCTGCACTAGTTTATGATCCAGTTTGGCCAGCTTCGGATCCTGCCACTTGGGACGAGAACAAATTAGTTCAAATTAATGCAAATGGTGCAGGTGTTGGACTTTATTCAGCAAATACACAAGATGCTGGGATGGTTCCTGATGGGACACCTTGTTCTCGAGGCGTAAGTTTAATAACGTTATAATAATATCTTTCAAAATACAATTATTACTATTAACTGTAGTTAGCCATAGATTTACGCATTCAATTGTTCGAATTTTATTGATTCAGAAGTTAACCTTTCTTGTGCAACATCATTGACCTTCGGGTTTGGGTGCCTACACGAAAATTGACTTTATCTTATATATATAATTATTTTACTCGTAAACCTTGATAGACGACAAAGTTATATATTACCAAGAGTATGTTTATGGTACTGGAGAAAGAGGGGATCATTCGGTTTGACAATTAAACTGGAAATTTGTATGATTTTTACTGATTACTACTTAGCATCCAAATACCCTGGTATTGTCGAGAGTAAGGAGGGTCCATTCTCATGCAGTTTATAACCCCTGTCAGGTAAGTCCTACCTATTATTACCTTCACAGAACAGGAGTTATGTTTCTGTATATGAAGTGTCATGTCCGAACAAAGAATAAATGAATGGTAACTGCTAGGAATTGTTTATGGACTATTAATACGTATATTCTTATCATATAATTATTATGTAACTAGATTACACATATATTCATATTTCTTTTATCATAAGCTTTCATTTGACCCATTAGCTACCATTGTACGATTTACCATCCTTAATTTATTCCCAATCTGTTTTCCACGATCTTTTTTACTGAACCTCTTTTAGCTTGATCTTGTATAATAATTATTTTTCACTTGGTGTGATGCGGTGTAGTCTGCTTGTATATAAACCACATATGTCTGAAGCATATAGCGTGGACAGAACAACACTATGGAAACTTCTTCGACACTACGGCGTGCCTCAGAAGATAGTCAATATCATACAGAATTCATATGATGGATTGCACTGCAAAATCGTGCATGGAGGACAGTTGACAAAGTCGTTCGAAATAAAGACCGGTGTCAGGCAAGGTTGCTTACTCTCACCCTTTCTCTTTCTCCTGGTGATCGACTGGATCATGAAGACGTCAACATCTGAAGGGAAGCACGGGATACAATGGACATATAGGATGCAGTTGGACGATCTGGACTTCGCAGATGATCTGGCCCTTCTATCCCAAACGCAACAACAAATGCAGGAGGAGACGACCAGTGTAGCAGCAGCCTCAGCAGCAATAGGTCTCAATATACACAAAGGGAAGAGCAAGGTTCTCCGATACAACACAGCATGCACCGATCCAATCACAATTGACGGGGAAGATTTGGAAGATGTAAAAACCTTTACATATTTCGGCAGCATCATTGATGAACAGGGTGGATCTGATGCAGGTGTGAAGGCGCGGATCGGCAAAGCAAGAGCAGCATATTTACAACTGAGGAACATCTGGAACTCAAAACAACTGTCAACCAAAACAAAGGTCATGATTTTCAATACAAATGTCAAGACAGTTCTACTGTATGGGGCGGAAACCTGGAGAACTACGAAAGCCATCATCCAGAAGATACAGGTGTTTATTAACAGTTGTCTACGCAAAATACTTCAGATCCGTTGGCCGGACACTATTAGCAACAACGTACTGTGGGAGAGAACAAACCAGATCCCAGCGGAGGAAGAAATCAGGAAGAAGCGCTGGAAGTGGATAGGACACACATTGAGGAAAGCACCCAACTGCGTCACAAGACAAGCCCTCACATGGAATCCTCAAAGCCAAAGAAAAGAGGAAGACCAAAGAACACATTACGCCGAGAAGTGGAAATAGACATGAAAAAGATGAACAAGAATTGGATGGAATTAGAAAAGGAGGCCCAGGACAGAGTGGGTTGGAGAATGCTGGTCGGCGGCCTATGCTCCATTGGGAGTAACAGGCATAAGTAAGTATGCCTGAAGCATATGATTCATACAGCGGAGGGGGATATTGTGTTCTGGATTCAACGGACAGGGTTTAGCGAGTTGACTGAAGACTGCTAGTGGTGGTTGGCTTGTCATTGGTTTAGCACAGCGACGATGCCATAGAATTTGATTTTTTGAATATCGATTTTGTGACGTGATGTTTGACGGACTTCAGGATATAACAGTTTTCAGCCCATATATTAATATATTTGTATGGATCGAAACGATGTTTATCGAGAAAGAATTAGATGTATAGAAAATTGTTTAGTGAAATAAGAGTAAACGTTTTAGTGCGTTTTTTAAATCAATGTTGTGAACCTGCAAACATAATCTTATTTCTGTATTTCACAGCATTCTTAACATCCACTTTCGATACATCAAAATTAAGTTGGTAAGGTTGAGAATTCTCATTGACTCCTACCTCTTCGTGCAATCCTGGCTGTTGTAGAAGTACTTTAGGGACATCAAACTAAGATGTGAGATCAGTTTACATAGTCATCGGTCTGAGCCATGTTTACAACAGTACACTATGTGATTGGAGACGTTTTGTGACCTTTTGTTTAAAACCTATCAGAAAATCCCTGGTGTATTCGTCTTTACATTTCTCGAAATCATAAATTTTACTGCTCTTTGGTACAGATTTTTATTTCCACTTTTTCGTACGA